AAATTAGCTTATTTGAACCAATCTAATATAGCTATTGACAAAAAAAAAAAAAAAAAAAACAAAGTTTTATGTATCCGCCACTTATTTGTCATTGAATATTTCAAACCCTCTCTAAAATGATAGACATGTCTCTTAGCATTTAACGCAACCATATGACTCATCAACTTAGTTGGTCAAATATAAATACTAAATAGCATTTCCACTTTACATCTATATATACATTTTTGAATGACTTTTAGCAAATAAATCCTGGAGTTGGACCTTATTTACGGATGAATGTCATTGGCATTAATTATTTAAATTTGAAAAATATTACTTAAAGATATTACCAATACGATTTCGAGAATCATAAATTCATATCTTCCTTAATTTTCTGAGTCATTAATGTGATAATCTTTAGGAAATATTTCTCTGTAAAAAAAAAAATCCACATTAATGAAGGCATTAAAATCGACACTAACAATTAAATTATTTAGATGTTCAATTATTTTAAGATTCTTATATCTTATTTGATATTTTTTTTTTAATATCTCATTCTTTAATTACTGCGTTTAGAATTTATTGGTTGTTACCTATTTTTTGGTGAAATTTATTGGTTGTTACTTAATAAGTAATTATGGTGCGTTTATTTTAGTTAATATCTAATTTAAAGGATTTGTTTTCTTTTATTATTAATAAATGAATAACATGTATAGAAATAAAATATTTTTTTTGCGACTCCATAATAAAAATATTAAACTCTTATTTTCTACATTTCTTACACATAATATCCTCTTATTCAATAACAAAAAATATATATTACATATTTTTAAAAATATTTATAGTATTTAAATTATTTAAAAAATTTGTAATATTAATATTATTTCAACTCTATACAAATTTAATATATATGTATATATATCTTATGGGAACCATTTAAAAGAAATTTTTAAATTGACTTGAATTATATAGCTTTTAAATAAAAGTATTATTAAAAAGAAAAATAACTAAATAATGTTTAATTTCACGGGACGGGTAATATGATGGGACGGGTTTGGGTTGATATTTATAAAAGATCGTATACCACGGGTGAAATCCTAAAATTAACAATCAAAATAATCTATCAAACAAATTACATTTTGATTTTTTTAAGAAAATATAGCCCCGCGGTGTACCGCGGGTTAAAATCTAGTTAATATAATAATCGTATTAATAGTACACATCAATATCTTCGAGATTTTGTGTCTTCTTCGTTGGAATACACTTCCTATGGTAATAGTAATACACCCCCTCTCTCTTTCTGCCTGCCACCAACCATTTTTCTAATTAAATTTTACCCATCTTTCCGCACAAATTACACACTTGTACGGTTCGATACACTCCTAGAAAGTCAAAGTCAACATTTTCAGCTTATGGTCGAAAAGTTCTTACACGAAACTTAATTAATTAAATAGAAATATAACATGCACATGAATACATGATATAAAACTTTATCTTTAGCATATGGTCGAAAAGTCTTTACACGAAATTTAATTAAATAGTAATCAACATATACACTATAGACTTGGACACGAATCGAATATCCGGAATTTTTGTGATATTTGATATTCGATTCGTTTCAACCAAATACTTGATTTTGTGATTTGCTTCGATTCAGAAATTTTCAGATATCCGGAAATTCGAATATCCGGATTTTTTGTAATATTTGCGGAAATCCGCTTCGGTACATCTAAATATTAAAAAAAAAAACATACACTATATAAAATAACAAAATATCAGATATTCAAAGTTCTTGTTTGACATGTTTTCAAAATAAGTTCTAAAAAACAAATGTAACCATTGTTGATATCACCGATCAAGAACATGTCATAAAACTAATTCTAAAAACCAAAATCCGATAGTTTAAAATTCCACTAATCAAAACATAACTCTGTGTAAATCCAGAAAGAAAATGCTAAAATTTGAGAAACTGAATCGTCCACGGTCCACTTCTTATTATTTATTTAATATTTAAGGGATGCTGATTTTTCATTTTTTAAATCAATCTCAAACACAAGCCCATAAGCTCACAAAAAAAGAAAACACAAGCCCAAAAGATAAAAAAAAAAAACACGAACCCAAAAGATTAAAAAAACACAAATCCAAAAGGTACAAATACACAAACCATACTATGATATGTATATATATATATAAAATACGGATCAAATCGGATATCCAACTTTTTAAAAAAACAGTATTTGGTATTTGCTTCGGTTTTAACGAATATTATATTTTTCTATTTGATTTGCTCCAAAATCTTACGGATATTCGGATTTTTCACATCAAATCAAATCAAATACCGAATCAAAGCGGATCAAACGAATATTTTGCCCAGGCTATTATTACACGATATAAACATATTTCAATCTTTATACAACCAACAAAAACTACACAACAATAACAACAAAATGTCTCTTTTCTCCATCCCCATCTCCACTGAGTTGCTTCCATGGCTTCTCCTACTTTTGATTCCTCCACTTCTTATCTTCTTTCTTCTTCGTTCCCCTAAAAATCTTCCACCAGGTCCATCAAGATTACCTCTCTTAGGAAACATCCACCAGCTCGGATCTCTTCCTCACCGCACTCTCAGAGATCTCTCTCTCAAATATGGCCCCGTCATCACCGTCTATCTCGGAAGCGTCCGGACGGTGGTTGTACACTCTCCGGAGACGGCGGAGGAAGTTCTAAAACTTCATGACTCCGAGTGTTGTACTCGTCCAAAGCTTTCTATCACCAAAAGCTTTTTCTACGATGGACTTGGTCTAGGGTTTACTCAGTGGGGTGATTACTACAGAGATGTACGTAAACTCTGTGTTCTTGAACTTTTTTCCGTTAAACGAGCTAACTCGTTTAGGAACTTGAGAGAGGAGGAGCTGAGTCGACTCGTTGACTCGTTATCTGACTCGGCGGCGTCTGGATCTTCCGTTGATCTCACGGCGAAGTTGGCCAAGTTTGTCGCGAGCTTTACGTGTCGAATGGCGTTTGGATTGAGTTTTCAAGGAAGTGGAATTGATAATGAGAGGTTTATGGAGGTGTTCACGGAGGCGAACAGAGTCATCGGAAAAATTTCGGCGGCGGATATTTTCCCTGGGTTTGGTTGGATCTTGGATCGGATCAATGGTCTTGATTCTAGCCGGAGGAAGAGTTTTCAAGATCTTGATACGTTTTATCAGAAAGCTATTGTTGATCATCGAGAAAAGAAGAAAACTGAAGACCGTGAAGATTTGATTGACGTCTTGCTCAAGTTACAGAGTCAAGAAACCAAACTTGGTTCTTCAAGAATCACTGATACACATATCAGAGCCATTCTTATGGTAAGTTTCAACTTTGGTTAATTCGGTTCGATTCCACAATTCGTGTTCGATTTGGGTAATTTGGTATAGAAATTAGAGAAAATTTCGGTTTAGGTTCGTATTGGGAGATTGATGAGATGACCGAAACGGAATCGTAATCTTCATTGATCTTGATTTGGTGTCGGTCGATCTCATCAATCTCCCAATAGTTTGGAATTTGGATTCAAGACTTAACGGTTTGGTTCGGTTTGTTTGTCCATCATTTTTTTCTTCCATTTCAGGATTTGTTTGTAGCAGGAGTAGACACATCTGTTATCACTATGGATTGGACATTGGCAGAGCTTGCAAGACATCCAAGAGTGATGAAAAAAGTACAAGCCGAGATTCGTGAACTCATAGGAGACAAAGGGATAGTCACGTATGATGATCTTGAGGGTCTAGTTTACATGAAAATGGTGATCAAGGAGACTTGGAGGTTACACGCACCAGGTCCGATTCTGATTCCAAGAGAAGCAATGACTAACTTCAAGATCAAGGGTTACAACATTTACCCTGGAACGCGTATTCATGTCAATGCATGGGCGATTGGGCGTAACCCTGATGTATGGAAGGATCCTGATGAGTTTATCCCAGAGAGATTTGTGGATAGCAATGTGGATACTAAAGGGACAAGTTTTGAGCTATTGCCGTTTGGGAGTGGACGAAGAGGTTGTCCTGCGATGTACTTGGGATTAAGTACGGTGGAGTACACACTGGCGAATCTTTTGTATCATTTTGATTGGAAAGCGACGGAGGAAGTGAGTATTGAAGAAGCACCTGGTCTCACCAGCCACAGGAAGCATCCTCTTCACCTTATTCCAGTTAGTGCCATCAACCGCAAGCTTTAGTTTGGGAATGAAAAACGCAGTTTGCAACGAATAAGGATTAGTAAAGTTTCCCTTGTTGAATCTTCGATGCTTTTGGCTCAATAAAATTTTTATTGAGATATTTTCCATATCTCCTCCGCCATGTCTTTCAAGAACCGAACCCGATCCCGACATTTCCCTTGCTCACCGAAAACATTCATACAACGTCATTTCCATCTCCACCAAACCGCAATACTGAACAGCGTTGGCCACTTGTGTTCTCTCGAGCTCCACTTTGCTCTCAAATTCGCTACTAACCACTCCAATAACGACATTTAAAAGAATGCTTGCCTCCGATTTTGAGGGACCAGCCGCAACCACACTCCGGACATGGTGGGATAGTCTCTCAACACATGTAAAATCGATTTCACGGCCCCTTTACACACCTGGTAGACCTCATCCTCTCCCAAGTGCCGCCTTACTCTCTCAACATTCGTCATGAACACTTGGTTACCCACAAGCTATAGAAACACTCTAACTCTTTCCGGCACTAAGACAGTCCATATGACCATATCAACTTGAAAAAAAACCTCCATACTTTGTTTCGCTGTAGTCTCATACGTTAAGAGGTAATACTAGTTTAACAAGATTAACATATAATAATAAAAATAACCAAATTCTCGAAAATAGTTTTATGTATCGGCCATTTATTTGTCATTGAATATTTCAAAACCTCTCTAAAATGATAGACATGTCTCTTAGCATTTAAGAGCATCTTTAACGCTAGTCTCTTAGGGTGATCTTAGCTTAAATGCAGAATTAAGTTAAATCAGAAATCTCGTTTATAACTAAGAACGTCTCTTACTTAAGAGACAAAACTAATGTTAAGAGACGTCCACGTGGCGCCTTTTTTCTTTCTTTCTTTTTCTTTCTCTCTCAAATCGCGAAAACAAAGACAATTTCGGAAACTCATGCGAGCACCGATCGGTATTTCAAGGTATGAATTTCTATCTGATTGTGTGAATTGATGTGATTTAAGTATGTACAAATTAAGCTTCTGCTTGAGATCGAAATCGAATGGAGTAGAAAAAAATCTCAATGGATGCTGATGACGATTTCTACAGCGGCACCGAAAACTACTCCGATTACGCTGACTCCGACGAAGATGATGCCGACGCCGATTACGAGTTCGTTGAAGACGCCGCTGATGATTCCGATGACCTTATCTTCTGCCGCCGCCAGGTTTTTCCTCTCATCTTTCTGAATCTATTTCTTAAGCAAATTGAAATTAATGTTGCTTCCAATATAGAGAGAGATTTTTGTAGTCAAGTTTTGGTTTCGGAAATAATTGCAGGACTTTTCTGTAATATTGATGATGATTTGAAATGAATTGAGAAAATTTATAGATTTAGAGCTTCGTCACTCTATAATGTGGTAGAATTGGTTGTGGTGGTTTTGAAGTTGTTTGACTTAATATGCACAATTCACAAAAGTAGGCCACTAACTCGTCTTGTAGGATTATTAGATTTATAACAGCCTCTCAAGGTTTTTGTTCTTTCATTGAGATATAGTCACTAGTATCTGTAAATTCATTTCCTTCCAAATTAATATATCTGATTGATAATTTGGGTCTTTGTTCATGCCTTTGTCTGTAGGCTATTCGATGTAAAGCCTTCACGCACATGGAGGGTGAGATAGAATTTGTACAGATAGATCCAAATGACTTGTATCCCTGTCTTCTTATGAACGTTGGATCTGGTGTTAGCATTATCAAGGTATTTTGTTTACATTTGCTATTTCTTTCAGAAACTGTGTATCTGGCTCCTTAAACTTCATAGACCTGTAGATTTCATGCAATGGCTTTCAAATTATAGGTTGATGGTGAAAGGAAAGTTTGAACGTGTGAATGGGGACTAATGTTGGCAGTGGTACCTATTGGGGATTAGGAAGACTTCTAACGAAGTGCAAGAGGTTACAACAATAGATTTAACTCATTGTTGAGTATGATTTCCGGGAAACATCCAAGGATTCGGGTACCGTTCAAGTTTGATTAGGTACGTTGAATTTGTAATCAAGTTTTGTTCTTTTTTTCTCAGATGTGTTCTCTTATGTATGGTAAGAACTAAGGCTATTTCCCGCAAAGAATACAAACGAATGTATTATTTTTGAATCAATGTGTTGGTATACATGGGGAAAAATGTAGCTATTCGAGTCGATACACTTAAACAAAAATTCTTTCTTTATACACTCAAATGTAACCAAAATTTCTTTCTTTCTTGTCTAGTTTCATACACTTAAACACTTTGCTATATATTTGTTGTAACCAAATTTTTAAAAAATCAAAACACTAAAAAATTTTGAAAACCAAAACATTTCAAATTTTTAAGAACCAAATCACTTCAAAACACTATTTTTGTCATATGGACAAAATATTCCATAAATCAAGTTTAAAACAATTGTGGTTTATGTTATTTAAGTTATAAATTGTATCTCATGTATGTTTTAATTTTTTTAATTTGCAACAATTATTAAATTTTCTATAATTATAAATTTTATTTTTATATTAATATTTTTTTTTATAAGAACCACATGTTAAGAGCCTACCATTAATCACACAAAAATCTTAACTCAAAAATACTATCTCTTAACAATCACTTTTACAAATAAATTACTTAAATATTGCTAAGAAGTATTTCTAAGAGACTATCTATAATCATGCTCTCATCAACTTAGTTGGTCAAATATAAATACTAAATAGCATTTCCCCTTTACATTAATATAATAATCGTATTAATAGCTGTCAAAAAAAAATATATATCGTGTTAATAGTACACATCAATATCTTCGAGATTTTGTGTGTTCTACGTTGGATACACTTCCTATGGTAATATCACTGTTCTAAAAATCCCCGCATACCCCGATTACTTCCCGCTTAATTGCTATATCTGTCTCGATTAATGACTAATCCCTTAAAAGAAATCAATTATCCGATTATTTTCCGCCTAATCCGATTACTTTCCCCCTAATCCGATTACTTCCCGCTTAATCTTACATATCCCGATATTTTTAGATTCCAAATATATAAAAAATACTTTTTATTTTTGTTATTCAATCATTTAAATTGAGAGTTTGTGATGTTTTAAAATAACTTATATTCAAACTTTAATAAAAATCATAAATTTGTAATAAAAAGCATAAAAAAAATTGTCTCAAAAATACAGTTTTATGTGTTTACTGCAATTATGAAAATAATATTAGATTAATATGTTTTAAAAATATAAAAATAACCCTACAACCAGGGCCGGCTGAATTAATTTAGAGTCTCTGTACAAATCTTAAAATTTGGCCCTTTCTTCATAGAAAATTTTGTTTTTGGCCTTTTTTTATGTTAAAAAAATCTTTAAAAATGATCTTTTTCATACTAAAAATATATATTTGGGCTTTTTTCATACTAAAATTACCTTAAAATCTTAAAAATTATCATTTTTTCTTTTTTAAAAAAAAAAATTGAACCCTTAAATTTACCCAAAAAAATTTGGCCCGGTACATTTGCTCCTCTTGCACTCCCTCAACGCCGGCCCTGCCTAAAACTAATCTCCGATTTTAATCTAATTTTTTGATTAATCGATTAGCGTCTAGTGATTTTTCAAAAGCTAATACACCCTCTCTCTTTCTGCCTGCCACCAACCATTTTTCTAATTAATCTTTGTCCTTTTTGAAACTCGCAAAATACAGAATTTGACTACACAATCGTGAAGTAGCATACAATAAAATTAAACTGTAGACTAAAATAGTTCTGCAAATTAGAAAGTCACAAAATGACACAAATACCTTTCGAACCCTGGCATAAAAGCCACGCCGCTGAATTTTACCCATCTTTCCGCACAAATTACACACTTGTACGGTTCGGTTCCACTCTTAGAAAGTCAAAGTCAACATTTCCAGCTTATGGTCGAAAAGTTCTTACACGAAACTTAATTAAATAGAAATATAACTTGCACATGAATACATGATATAAACTTTATCTTTAGCATATGGTCTAAAAGTCTTTACACGAAATTTAATTAAATATTAATCAACACATACACGATATTATTAACTTATTTTCATCTTTATTATGGTCACACATACTACACAACCAACAAAAACTACGCAACAATAACAACAAAATGTCTCTTTTCTCCATCCCCATCTCCACTGAGTTGCTTCCATGGCTTCTCCTACTTTTGATTCCTCCACTTCTTATCTTCTTTCTTCTTCGTTCCCCTAAAAATCTTCCACCAGGTCCATCAAGATTACCTCTCTTAGGAAACATCCACCAGCTCGGATCTCTTCCTCACCGCACTCTCAGAGATCTCTCTCTCAAATATGGCCCCGTCATCACCGTCTATCTCGGAAGCGTCCGGACGGTGGTTGTACACTCTCCGGAGACGGCGGAGGAAGTTCTAAAACTTCATGACTCCGAGTGTTGTACTCGTCCAAAGCTTTCTATCACCAAAAGCTTTTTCTACGATGGACTTGGTCTAGGGTTTACTCAGTGGGGTGATTACTACAGAGATGTACGTAAACTCTGTGTTCTTGAACTTTTTTCCGTTAAACGAGCTAGCTCGTTTAGGAACTTGAGAGAGGAGGAGCTGAGTCGACTCGTTGACTCGTTATCTGACTCAGCGGCGTCTGGATCTTCCGTTGATCTTACCGCGAAGTTGGCCAAGTTCGTCGCGAGCTTTACGTGTCGAATGGCGTTTGGATTGAGTTTTCAAGGAAGTGGAATTGATAACGAGAGGTTTATGGAGGTGTTCACGGAGGCGAACAGAGTCATCGGAAAAATCGCGGCGGCGGATATTTTCCCTGGGTTTGGTTGGATCTTGGATCGGATCAATGGTCTTGATTCTAGCCGGAGGAAGAGTTTTCAAGATCTTGATACGTTTTACCAGAAAGCTATTGTTGATCATCGAGAAAAGAAGAAAACTGAAGACCGTGAAGATTTGATTGACGTCTTGCTCAAGTTACAGAGTCAAGAAACCAAACTTGGTTCTTCAAGAATCACTGATACACATATCAGAGCTATTCTTATGGTAAGTTTCAACTTTGGTTAATTCGGTTCGATTCCACAATTCGTGTTCGATTTGGGTAATTTGGTTTAGAAATCTATGTATTGTTTGAGTTAATACAGAAAATTAGGTTTAGGTTCGTATTAGGAGATTGATTAGATTGACCAAAATGTCAGAAACCGAATCGTAATCTTGGTCGATTTCGATTCGGTTTCGGTCCATCTCACCAATCTCCCAGTAGTTCAGATTGATGAATGACGGTTTGGTTTGGCTTGGTTTAGTTCGGTTTGTTACGATAGTATATTTTGATACGAATTGAGGAAATTGAGTTCATGGAAGCTTTTTTTTTTTTTTCATTTCAGGATTTGTTTGTAGCAGGAGTAGACACATCTGTTATCACTATGGATTGGACATTGGCAGAGCTTGCAAGACATCCAAGAGTGATGAAGAAAGTACAAGCCGAGATTCGTGAACTTGTAGGAGACAAAGGGATAGTCACGTATGATGATCTTGAGGGTCTAGTCTACATGAAAATGGTGCTCAAGGAGACTTGGAGATTACACGCACCTAGTCCGATTCTGATTCCAAGAGAAGCAATGACCAACTTCAAGATCAAGGGTTATGACATTTACCCTGGAACGCGTATTCATGTCAATGCTTGGGCGATTGGGCGTAACCCTGATGTATGGAAGGATCCTGATGAGTTTATCCCAGAGAGATTTGTGGATAGCAATGTGGATACTAAAGGGACAAGTTTCGAGCTATTACCGTTTGGGAGTGGACGAAGAGGTTGTCCTGCGATGTACATGGGATTAAGTACGGTGGAGTACACACTGGCGAATCTTTTGTATCATTTTGATTGGAAAGCGACGGAGGAAGTGAGTATTGAAGAAGCACCTGGTCTCACTAGCCATAGGAAGCATCCTCTTCACCTTGTTCCAGTTAGTGTCATCAACCGCAAGCTTTAGTTTGGGAATGCAAAACGCAATTTGCAATGAATAAGGATTAATAAAGTTTCCCTTGTTGAATCTTCGATGCTTTTGGCTGAATAAATTTATGTTTAGCTTCCAAACAATAATTTTACATTAATAAAAATGTTTGGCTTATTATACTATCCCCACACAAAGATTTCAGAACTCTGAAACTTGTTTACGATCAAAGAAACAACCAGAAGGAGATTCTCGATGTGGAAGCAAAGCTAGCCTTACAGGACTTGATGCTCCTTCTTCCACAGACAAAACTCCAGTCTTGAAATTCATATCAGTCTTAACAAATCCAGGACAAACCGAGTTTACACGAAACTCGGGATGTTTCTTTGCCAAGATCCTCGTGTAACCATTCAAACCGGCTTTCGAAACAACGTAGGCAGACATGACTTTAGCCCAATCTTTTGTCTTAACTGTATCTTCTTTCAGATCATTGAGAAGTTGGTTAATCACTTGATCGATTCTTTCCACCGTGAGATTCTCAGCGTCGCTCAGGATCCCTTTTGCCCATTCGTTTAGTAAATTCTTGCAAACAATTAACAAATGTAAGCTAAAATACTAAATAGAGTTTCCCTGCCAACATCTTGCAAGCATTCTTGATATACCGTTAGTTGACCCATGAAGGAAGATACGTTAACGATTCTTGGAGAATCAGATAACCGCAACAGAGGAATAAACGACTCACACATTCTCTTTGGTCCATAATAGTTAATCTTGATGCATTCCTCAGCTAGCTCATACGTCTCTGTGATAGTTTCCTCCCACTTGAAACCTTCCTGACATATCGAAAATAACAAGAAAGCATTAAACTGACAAAGATTTATCGAAAATTCTATCACAAGATACTTACTTTCCCAGTCCCAGCTCTTAGAGCATCAACATCAGTGATTACACCACCAACCCCTGCATTATTAATCTGTAAAAACAATCAAAAGATAACTCAACATTACGCAAAGACTCTTGCTATTAAGACCTGTTTCATAGTAAACTGAACAAAGACCGTAACTAAATCGTACCAAGATATCGAGTTTTCCGAATTGGGTTTTCACAAACTCAGCAAGAGATGAGATACTAGCTGGATCAGAGACATCAAGCTGATGAAAGACAATGCTTTGATCAGAAATCCCAAGCTCTTTCTTTAATATCTCAACAGCTTCAAGTCCTCTTCTTTCATCTCTAGATGTCAGAACAACCCTAATCCCTTGGTTTGCTAATTGTCTGCATATCTCAAATCCAATGCCTCTATTCCCTCCAGTAACTATAGCATATCTACAAAACCCAGAACTAAAATCTGATAAAAATCAGAACTAAATCAAGAACTAAGTGAAGATTGAGTCATACCTACCTTGGTGTTTCCTCAGACATTTTTTCTGGGTTTCAGTTCAGACAAAATGTTTCAAACGAAATGTGGAAGCTAGTGAAGCCACGTAGCTCACAAATTGATGTTCTTGGAAAGGTAAAGACGAAAGAGTGAGTAGCCCCAAAACTAAATTCGCAACCGTGGAGATGACTAACCTAACAAATTAACCAATTTGAAGAAGGAACCAAAACGAGAGACGAGGTTCACGTCGGTGTCGATGATCGCCGGCAAAGTTTAGCTTCTCGTTCGGCCAATAATCTCTCACCATTAAATATGGTTTTTGTTTTTGTTTTTATTGATCGAAAATGTTTGATTCATAGTCAATTTTACTATGTCGAATAACGAGATTATTTAATGAAACTAAACTCCAACCGAAAAGATGGAATCAGGTGGACTTAACCACTTAACTAAAATATTTTCTTTTACCATTAAATATAGTTTTAGTTATGAGTTACGTGTTTTCGTTCACATAAGCGGTTAGACCTGAAATATATGGTAACAAAATCTTTAATAGTGTGAAGCGGTTTGTTTGAGAAAAACATAACAAACAGCACAAAATAATGTATGAATGATGCAAAAATAATATTCTGCAATACAAATTTTTAAATAGTGAAAAATATAATAAGCGGTTCGAATTATATATTTAAGAAAATATTTTATAGCTTTTAGTAGATTAATTTTTGTGCTAAAAACAATTTCGATAAATGTTTTTGTAATTGGGTACAATTGTATTTTTATCGCAATCTTTTGTTAATTTTTTTTTTAAAAAGCTAAATATATATTACGGTTTTGTTTTTCTATAAGTTGTAATTCAAATAAATATTTTCTGTAGTTGCGTTTTTTGTACTGAAGTATTAATTGCGAACATACAGAAAGCAGAACGGGATAAATTAATTACGGGTATCAAGGTGGCAACTGCAAGCCCATCGGTTTCTCACCTGCTTTTTGCGGATGATAGTCTATTTTTTTGTAAGGCTAACAAGGATCAGTGTGGGGTAATCTTGGGGATCTTAAAGCAATATGAAGCGGTCTCGGGACAACAAATAAATTATTCCAAATCTTCGATCGAGTTTGGGCATAAGGTAGATGACGGTGTGAAGGAAGATATCAAATCTACCTTAGGTATCACTAATATTGGTGGTATGGATTCATATCTTGGGTTGCCAGAAAGTCTCGGTGGTTCAAAAACAAAAATTTTCTCTTTTGTTAGAGACAGGTTACAGACAAGGATTAACCAAATGGTCGGCAAAAATTTTATCAAAATGTGGGAAAGAAGTGATGATTAAATCGGTAGCTGCGGCATTACCAACTTATGTTATGTCGTGCTTCAGACTACCGAAAACAATCACTTCTAAACTCACTAGTGCGGTTGCTAATTTATAGTGGAGCTCGAATGGTGCCTCCAGAGGTATGCATTGGATGGCTTGGGATAAATTATGTATTAATAAATCGGAAGGAGGGATAGGATTTCGAAACGTCGATGATTTTAATTCGGCCTTACTTGCAAAACAGTTGTGGCGGTTGATCACGGTTCCGGATTCTCTCTTTGCGAGGGTTTTTAAAGGGCGGTATTATAGGAAATCTAATCCTTTGGAAAATATAAAGTCATATTCCCCATCGTATGGGTGGCGGAGTATATGCTCAGCTAGATCTCTGGTTAATAAAGGACTTATTAAAAGAGTCGGATCTTGAATTCCATCTCAGTTTGGGAGGATCCGTGGATTCCAGCTCAATTTCCGAGACCAGCAAAAAGTAATGGATCTATTAATGACCCATCTTTAAAAGTTAACATGCTTATAGATAGTCGATCTAATTTTTGGGACATTGATCTCCTCAAAGCGGTCTTTGACCAGGAAGATGTCGAGTTAATAAGTGCCCTACCGGTGGGTGCGCCAACCAAGGAGGACACCTTGGGTTGGCATTTTACAAAATCCGGCAAATATTCAGTTAAGTCGGGGTATCATACCGCACGGTTGGATAAGTTGGAGACCAACTCATCTTTCATTGGGCCAGATTTCAATAAGTTAAAGGCTCATACTTGGAAAGTACAGTGTCCACCTAGGATACATCATTTTTTATGGCAAATCTTAACGGGTTGTGTACCGGTTACAGAGAACTTACGAAAAAGAGGAATTGATTGTGACACTGGTTGTGCCAGATGTGGTGCACTGGAGGAAACAGTCAATCACACACTCTTTCAGTGCCATCCAGCAAGACAGGTTTGGGCACTTTCTCAGATTCCTACGGTTATGGAGACTTTTCCCACATATTCTATTTTTGCAAACTTGGATCATTTATTTTGGAGAATACAATCGGAGTTTGATTCTATAGCTTTTCCTTGGATTATTTGGTATATTTAGAAAGCACGGAATGAAAAATTGTTTGAAAATGTGGATAACGATCCGTTAGAGGTTTTACGGTTAGCGGAAAGAGAGGCACAATTGTGGCACTCAGCTCAAGTGGAGCTTCATACTGAAACTCAGGCTTCAGTGGAATTTCCAAATCGGCCTCAAACGAGGGGGGTGTCCCTAGATTTGGATTTTACAGGATACCGTTGTTTTGTGGATGGATCCTGGAAAGACAGCGACAAGTTTTCCGGGATAGGGTGGTTTTGTACACCATCAAACGGTGAGCCATCAACAATGGGAGCTGCCAACCTCCGTAGAAGCCTATCTCCGCTACATGCCGAATTCGAGGCCCTCCTTTGGGCGATGAAGTGTATGATTGGTGCAGATAATCAAGAGGTAGCATTCCTTATAGACTGTTCTGACCTGGTGAAGATGGTGTCTTCCCCAACCGAATGGCCGGCCTTCTCAGTGTATCTGGAGGAATTTCAGAGCGACAAGGAAGAGTTTTCTATCTTCTCTTTATCTTTAATTTCTCGTTGTGCAAATGTAAAAGCGGATAATCTGGCACGAAAAGTTCGTACGGAACCGCTTCATATCACTTATGTAAACAACATTCCACAAGAATAACTCTTTTGAGCACTATTTAAAAAAATAAACTGCTGCAACTGACGACAAAAAAAAAAAAAGCTGCTGCAACTATTTAGTTAAACTTGCAACGTTTAGTTTAATTGACAAATCATTATTTTAGACAGAACCTTAATAAAACCTTCCTCCTTAAGTTATCACTGATCTCACCTTCTCCTGAGTACCTTTCATCAGGTGAACATACAAGTTGGACTAATTCATAGAAGACTTTACATTTCAAGAGTCACATACGCATTTTCATTGTATATTGAAAATGAAACACGTTGCGAGATTTAATAATAATAGGTTGAGATATGCATTTTCATTGCACGCGGCACACACCAAACCATTTTTTGACCTGGTTTCATTTATAAAAAAAAATACTCTAAAACGTGGGTTTCATTCATTTATCATCTCTATATATATATATGCACGAATTAGATTTTGAATTCATTAATTTAAATCAACCCAAAATGTATAAATTCGTCGTTTGCTTACTAACTTTGAGCTTTCTCTTGCTCTCTGGACTATCAAACACAGCATTGGCCCGAGTACACCATGAATCTTCAAATCCAAGTAAATTTTCTTTTATTCCGAGCAATTTTGTATAGTTTTGATCCGATTTTTGTTTTATTGTAGTTCAAATTTCTGGCCTTAGAAAACAGAGATATTGAATGAAAATCGAATATTATTCAGTTTTGGTTATTCTTTGGACTTTTTGGTTATATCCATGTTCGCAAAATAAATCTTCAAATCAAAGACTATCCATAGAAAATGATAGTGTAAGTCGTCAAATTTACTTTCTCATCGCAGTTTGAGTTTATAGGATTTGCTCGTAGTATATGAAAATTGTCACTGAATCATTGTAATTTCTCTTCATTTTGACTTTTGTAATAATTATTTATTTCGATACAGTTCTTGTTCTATTTAGATACGTAAACAATATACTAGCTTAAAATATTCAAAATTGATTTGTTAATTGTTTTTTTTTTTTTTTTTCTTGTTTTCGGAAAGAAGAAATAGGAAACGCGGTTCGGGATCACAAGATCTTCAACTATATGAAGGCTCGTGTACGTCCCAGTGCTTCAATGCGTGGACCTGGACAAACCAATTAGAACTGGCCAAAATATATATGTTTGTAAAAATTAATTTGAAATATTTTATATGATATTCTTTATTAAAATTTATTTTAAAATCAATGAAAGTTATGTTTTGTAACACTCATAGCAATTGATTTTGCTAATTTGCTGACGGGAAAGTACACATGCATGGATATGCTTTGTTTTTTAAAAGATGTTTCAATTATTGCATTTGTTTTTTTTTCATCAAATATTGGTCATTGATCATGATCTTTCCGTCGACATTCTCATGGCGTACGAGATCAAAAGGAAAAAAGCCTTCTTCTCTCTCTGGTGTGAGACGAAATATCAGCGACAGTTCAAACCGTCCTTTTCAAGCGCGTGGTTGGCGCGTGGCGGCTTAGATAGCGCCGGCGTCGGTCCCTCGTGTTCGTTTTCTTTATGTTTTCGTCTCTAGCTTAGTTTCCTTAGTTTGTTTGGATCCATGGACGTTATTGGCGAGGTGAAAATATCTTTTGGGTTCTCAGATCTGAAAAGGCTTTTGGTCAAGGGTTCGTTTCGTCGGAGCCGTTGGCCGTTTGTGGGGTTGGAGCGACCGTTCTCGGTCTTGTCTTGTGGTGTGGATCAGCAGCTTGCAGTTTGAGGGGTTGTGGTTCGCGTCGGAGTTTATGTCTCTCTCCTTTGTCGTTTCAGATTTGGGCTCCGACGAAAGCGTCTTGTGGTGGTGTTGGCCACGGTTTTGGTTCGCTCATGGTCTGGCCATCTTCCCTTTGTTGGTGGTGGCAACGGTATCTGGTGGATTAGGGTTTGTGGTCTGGTTTGTGCCACTTTGTGTCTTTGTTAGCCTTGTTCTCTTCAAATCTCTTTTGGGTCCTTGACTTTGTGCCTTCATTATTGGTTCGTTGGGTACGGTTGTGGAATTGGCTCTATATTCAGTCTTTTGTGGTCTAGTATCTTTGTTCTCTTGCCTTCTCTATGCCATGCTGAGTTTGCTTGTTTTTCGATCCGGTTTGCTCTCTTGCCGTCTCCAGTTTTCGGTTTGTTGCAGATTGTTGGGCTCGGTCCTTGTCTCTATGGTCTAGACCTGATCGAGGTCTCTTTATTGCATTGGTATCTTTCTAGGCGTGGACATTTCGTGGTTATTTCGTTTGCTTCGAATTCGCCGTTTCCAGGAGTTGTGTTTGAGTTCTAGATGTCTTTCGACATAGTTCTCTACTTGCTGGTAAAGATGCTTTAGTTCTCTTAAAATTGTGAGGTAGTCTTCATTGTTAAAGGAAGAGCCGCTGTCCGATGTCGTGGATTTTCTCGTCTCCATCGGTTAGCCACTACTTCAAGCTTTTCTCTTTGTTGGTTTGATGGTAGGCAAAGTGTTTAGTGCTAGATTCTGAGTTAGAGCTCATTGCCTTCTTTGTTTTGGCTTTGTTGTTCAATTGTAGTGTTGTTGTCTGTTTCCCATCCTTTTGGGCGTAGTTTCCGAGGATATCTTGTCATCCGTCGGCTTAGTTTCCGGGATCATGTTTTCGATCGTCGGCTCCTTGTATTTCATCTTGTATTCCATCAATGAAAATCAAAATTCCAGTGAAAAAAAAAAAGATCATGATCTTTCAAATTCAACGCTTCAAAAGAGATTTATAATCAAATCCAAATTTCACGTTCGGATTTATATATTTCTCTTGTATGCTTTTTCTCTAGTGTATGTGTATTTTTTTTTAATGTCGAAGATTCATGATGTTTCAAACCATGTAAATTGTGTGATGGTCACAAAACATAAATTAGACCCTGAAAATAGAGAAGAGAAAATATTGAATTGAGGATACAGAGTTATTTTCTTTGGATAGATAATTGTATTTCGGCTCCATTTGGAAATCCAAAATATTTTAGGGGGCTGTATTGAAGAAAAAATTTGGAGTGATTTGAGTTTTAATGAGTTTTGAGATGATTTTGGTGAATTTTGGTGAATTAGGAAATTTGATATCAAAACTCTCCCAAATCCTACCTAAAACCATGGGATTTGGATATTTTAATTTTTAACTAAGATGTTCTCTTAAATTCCACCAAAAATCACTCAAGTCATTTCAAATCCACAACTTAAAATGTTTCCAATAACAGTAGATTTGATTGTAGATTTTAAAATCACTAATCCAATAACACTTGATTTTAAAAAGATTTTTAAAATTCATGTTTGAATAACATAGAATTTATCATTTTAATACAAATCATTTCAAATCCTTTATTAAATACACCCCCCTTAGTTCAGTTTTGAAGTTTGGGATCTATTCGGTTATTTTTGTCGGTTTCGGTTTAATTTGGTTTCTCTTTTTTTTTTGTTCGGTTTAGGTTCGGTAAAACAATTCTCTTATTATTAATTTTAAAAGTTTATTGGATTATTTATTTTTTAGAAAAAAAATCATCCAGATCAACTATTATCGAGGCAGATTTGGCATCTCAAATAAATCTAACAAGATTGAGACAAATTTTTTAGTTATCATTTAGATCCATAAAATAGAAATTTATGGTTTAACAAAAGATCCGTTTTAGCAGGATGATATATTTTTCAAGCCAAATTCCTGGTTTGAAGTCTGACACACAAGTCTTTCTATTAGGCTGCACTGAAACGCAGCGTATAGCTCCAAGTATTGTACATGCTATAGATATTGAAGTGGTTACCGAACAAAAGTAGTGAAAAGGACCTTCAAAAGTAGAAATTTCAGCTAGTATTTGCACACGACTAAAGCAAAGAACCACTTTTTATTCAACTTTTGACGATTTTACTTTTCATACCAAGTTAAGAACAATCTGAAAACACAGTAACTTTTGAGACCTTATTAAAAACCAGCAATCACTTCAACACCTGAAAAACTCTACGGTCTCTCTCTCTGTCTCTCTAGGTTTCATTCACGAAGATGAATTCTTCTGTACCCATTCAACAAGCGTAGCAACACCAAACCCGGTCCCAGACTTCTTCTTCTCATTCCACACTGGTCCAGCCATGTCGATATGCATCCATTGCACCTTCTCACTCACAAACTGACATACCGCGGAATTTGTTATTTTCACAAACTTGTTTTGTCAAAATATGTATGTATTAGTCTTTAAAAAAAAAGACTTTGTTTTCACCTGTTTCAAGAAGAGAGCTGCGGTGATGGAGCCTCCTGCACGCCCGCCTGTGTTGACCATATCAGCCACTCCAGACTTCATCATCTCCCAATAGCTCTCTTCCAGTGGCATCCTCCACAGCTTCTCTCCACTCCTTTCTGATGCAGCAATCACTTCCTTTGCAAGCTCGTCGCTAGGTGTATAGATACCTATCAAGTAAAGAACACAGAACCATCATTATGAGCCAGTTATGAACTCAAAAGCGAGACAAAAATGACTGTTTCCTGCAGGTTGCTATGTACCTGCCATTGAAGTTCCAAGAGCAATAACGCAGGCCCCGGTCAACGTAGCAAGGTCAACAATCTGCAAGATATTTGACAATGTTTAATTGAAAGGATAAATTTAACAGAAACAAGCTCCTTTAGCTTCTCATATCAATAGCAATGCAATACCTTGTCGACGCCCTGGTTACATGCATACACTAGAGCATCTGCAAGTGTTAGACGACCTTCAGCATCTGTGTTGTTGACCTACACACACCATCGCCAACGATTAGCATGTCAAAGGAAAAACAGTAAAAGCTCACATCTGAGGAAAGAAATCATCAGATACCTCAATGGTCTTTCCGTTTGAGGCTGTGATGACATCTCCAGGTCTCATTCCGGTTCCACTGATCATATTCTCACAAGCTGCAACGATGAAATGAACCTGGTTGTGGACAGACCCATTGTTTAGTTACGTTAACAAACTCTACGCTTCAAAAGAATCTGAAGGGAGAAACTAACCTCAACACCGGGAGGCTTAATCTCACCAATAGCTTTCGCAGCGCCAAGAACAGCAGCTGAGCCGCCCATGTCGAATTTCATGAGCTCAATTGAGCAGCCTGGTCCAGTCTTAATGTTGTAGCCACCACTGTGAGCACATGACATTTAATCAACAACTACTAATATAGCAAGAAAAGAGACCAATTCACAACAGCGTAAAATTCAAAGCAATACGGCAAAGGGGTGCTCTAGTGATTGATTACCTGTCAAAGGTCAATCCTTTTCCTACAAGAGCAAGTTTGGTCTTAACAGAGCCACTGGAAGGTTTATAAACAAGGTGGATGAAATAAGGGGGATTCGCCGAAGCAGCAGCAACAGCTAGATAGGAACCCATCTTCAACTTTCTGCATTGCTCTTCGTTCAAGATGTTTGCAGTGAAGACATCACTGTACGTAGAAGCCACTTTTGCTGCTTCCTCAGCTAGTACAGCTGAAACGATACAAAAAAAACCGTAGCCAGATTAGACAACTCAGCGAATTCACACTACGCAAACATAACAATGTTTAATCCCATAAATGACAATTCATACCAGGAGTAAGCACATTGGCAGGAGAATTAGTGAGTTCTCTCCCGAAAATCACACCGTAAGAAACATCTTCAGCATACTTCAACTTCTTTTCTAGCTCAGCCCCAGTTCCAAATCCAATGATATCAACAGACTTCAAAGATGGTTTCTTTGATTCAGACTTATACCTACCATCTTCAAACAAACCAAGTACTATGCCTATCCACAAGCAAAACAAATAAACCCCAAACTCAGTTCCAAAACTGTAATAAACAAAACTCTAACTTTAAGTTATACAAATTGAAGTTACCTGAAGCTAAAGCTGATGCAGAACTAAGCTTAGATTCATCAGAAACACTTGAAGCAAGCACAATAGCAGCGCTACTAGATTGAGAAGCTTTTGAAACTGTAGCTACAGCTTCACCAAGGCTATGAAAAGCCACCGGAGACGAAACAGATTGACCGAGACCGATCAAACCGATTCGCTTTGAACCGAGACCCGGAAGCCTAAGAACAGTTGATTGACCAGGTTTTCCAGTGAAATCTTCCTCAGAAGAGACTTGAGCTAAGAGTCCACTCAAGTGAGTATCGAGCTTGTTCAAGATCGGATTCTCAAACTTTGAGTTACCATCTTTGGCTAAGTCTTTCTCTGTCACACCAACTACGATTATGTCTCCTTTCCATGCCGTAACATCGATCTCCTTCGCAGAGAACGAGATCTGCAGAATCGTCACCAAAAGTTCAAAACTTTAAACACGAATCAATCAAAAAATCAAAACTTTGAACGCGATCGATCAAAAGAACAAAGCAAGTCTATAGATCATTGAATCGGAACTAGATCAAAACTGAATTCGATAACGAATCATTGCAAAATCAGAGTAAAGGAAACAAACCTTGTGAGGCTCAATGGAGTTGGGTTGAGTGAGGCCGAGAGTGTGAGCCATGGTTATGGCTATTGAAGAGATGTGTTGTGTGATTGAACTCTAAAGAGGAAGACGAAGGAGTAAACAATGAAAGTGATGGTCTTTTAAAGGCGAATATATATAGAAGGAGAAGTTAGGTGTGATTTACACACGTGTGAATGTGTTGGGTTTTTTTTTGGTGAGTTTCTTAAGTCATGGTCGAAATAATAAGGGAAAGACAAAACTATAGAAGTAGGTGTTATTCTCAGCAGCCTTCTTAAACATTTCTCTATGGGATATGCATGAGTTTTTGTATTCTCAGTATGCTATCAAGCTTGTTGCTTAAGACTATGATTTTTGGGCATGTTTTGTTGATCGTTGGTCGGTTTTTTTGTAATAGTGTTTGCGTCGCCAAAATCGATGGTGGACATTGATGCTAGAAGGTCTTTCATCTAGGGTGTAAGATATGGTTTCTCTAACTTATGCGTGGATTTCGATGGCTATATTCTTCAATGAGTGTAGATCTTAGGAAATGTCTCTCTCATCTAATGCCGAATTCTTGGAGAAAAAAATTGTTTGGGAGTTTGTTCACTGGATCAGGATAAATTTTATGCAAGTGAAAAACAAAAATTTAGGCATCAGTAACATAAACCATGACCCAAAACTTTGTAGTATCAACATTTAGTGTTGATAACAACATATCCTCAACGTACCTGCCAAATGAAATGTTGAAGTTTTGGGGTCTCCATTCCAAGCTTCTCTTCCGACTGCCTTGGTTTTAATTAGAGTTGAATCTTTGTTAGTTTTGCATTGGTAGTTTTGGTTTTGGTTTAGAATTTGTCTTTTGGTTGTCAGTTTCCCTCGTTTGGACGTTTATCTCCCTTATCCTTTGGGACGTTTTCTTTCCTTTGTTTGGGCTGCTGGTTGGAAGTCTTTGTATAACTCTTCCGTATTCTATCAATGAATCCTTTAGACGGAAAAAGAGATGTTGAAGTTTTGACGGATCTTTAGTCTTCCGGACTTCTGCCTGTGTGCTCTTCAACTAGGTTTATGTGTTTCTATCAATATTGGTTTAAGTAGGATCCAAGCCATCCAACCATATACTCCCCTTTTCATATGTACTTCCAACACTCTAAAAAATCTGTTACAAGATAGTTTCCTATAAATTCAGAAGACATAGTCAGGCTGAATTAACTCCCTCAAATGGTCAATATATTTTACTTTATTATTATAGCCCCCTATCAGCTGATTCCTGCTTAGGAAAAGAGGAGTTGAGATTGTTCCTAATCTTTGTGTTGGCTTTGATGGCCTGATCAAGTACCCACAAATCCGTCCACACCGATGTTTGAAAGCTAAACCCAATTTTCTAAGCTAGTCCTTATATCAAAGAGACCTCATATATATGTTGTAACTTTCTCCTTTTTTTTTATATACACATTTTATAAGTTGCACTTCAAATCTACAATATCAATCCAACTATTCGCCTATCTTACAATAGACCGTCCGGAACCTTGACAAGTACACGGCGTACTAGTCAAACATGGAGCCTAATCAATTCAACTATTTTTTTCTATTTTGTTTGGTCAACATCGGTCTAATTGAAACATCGAATTTTTTTTTTTGGCTGACTATACATGTTTTGTTAAAGAGCATATAATATTAAAATGAGATAGGTCGTCAGATGGCTATCATGGCTTATGGACAATCTTCTATTCCTTCTATATTATAAAACACTAAAATTGAAGGATACCTAAGCTAATCAAAAATCTTTGAATAGTCTTCGTCGACTTAATAATCTACACATATTATCTACTGTCAATTTTTTTCTTAGCCTTCCTAACATTTCACATAAAATATGAAATAAGTATGCGATGCAGTCTCAAATATGTATTTGTGTGTAAGAAATTCAAAGAAGAAAAAAGTTTGGTTGCTCAATGCTAAATTTTTAAGAATGTTAATCAGAACTATTTGGGGGATAATCTTCACATGCAATGATAATTACGTTTTGCTTGGCGTCAGGCTTTTTGGACAAAATTTTAACATACTTAAGTCTAGAAAACTAGGATAATAAATTTAAAGCTTCAGAAAACATAACTTGGTTATGTCAGTGGTTAAGGTCTGATTATTATTATTTTGTTCATCAATTCATCTACTAAGGTATTGCCAACTATAATTAAATGTGACAGCTTGGAGTCGAGTAGAGAGTGAGAGTGAGAAAGAATTTGAATAGGCACGCAATCTTCAACAAGTAAAAACAAAGAATGACCAACTAGTCTTAGCAATGTACAGAAAAGAGGCACGCAAATACACAGATTCTTGTAAAATTATTGAATCAAAGCACTTTTATTAATCAAAGTAGTTTATCTTCTACAAGTAAAAAAAAAGAATGACTGATAAGTCTAGATTTGTACAGAAGGAGCACACCAATGAAAATAATATCTAAGACAACCTTAAAAAATCTCCCAAAAAAAAAAAATAAAAAAACAAAAACTAGGCCACATAAATGGAAGTTTGATCAGCTTCTAGGTCTTTAGTTTTCTTGCAGAACATGCCACCACATCTCTTCTTAAACTGTAATATCTCCATCCCAATGGCAAACGTTGCGATTGCACAAATGATGGTAGTGTAAGCGATCTTCCAGCAGCTTCCTGCTGGGTGCAAGATAGCAAGGCCTTTGTAGATATTGTAGACGCTTAGTATAATCACTATGTATCTCATAGTGTGATGATATCGGTTCCAATATTTTCTGTACTTATGATCTTTGTCCGGTCTTGCTTTGAGCGCAAGTATCTGCAAAAATCCTAAAGCAAATAGAAACAACCCTATCACAATATGCGGCGTAGTCCTCATCCTAGTATGTCTTGCCATATAGATTGCGGTTCCTAATCCTCCGATTAAACCAACAAAATAACCAGTGGTTTGACAAACAACGTGTACATAGAACCATGTGGGATCTAATCTCTCGTAGGTCTTCATGTATTTTGCAGCCATAACCCCAATAAGCATGAGAATTCCCCAACTCACTGCATTCATCATTCCATGGATTTGCTTTACCAACAACATGTTTTCATTAACTGATTTTGTAGCTGTGTTTTTTCCGGAAAGCAAATCCAAAAAGCGATAGATGTGAGATGATCTCCACTCATTGCGTGCATTCCAAGTCTACCTCCTTCTTTCAACGGATCGTCTTACCATATGTGATTCATGACTGTTGTGTTAGGTGGCAAAACTAAAGTTGCAAATACCGTCATCTCTCCATCCAAATACTCAGTAGATACTTGCGTCACATAGAAGCTAAGAGGAGATTCTTGAAGCGTAGTTATTAATGGAGGAAGTATAAGAACGCATAACACCAGAAGTTGAGCTTCGATAAGCCACGAGAGCTTGAGCTCCCAGCATGCCTTTACGCGTCGGATTTATGGCCCAAGCGATCCAACTAGAAGACTCAAGATTGGCGTGACGGTAAGCAACTTCAAGAACTCCAGTTTCTCTAGCATAGCTAAAGTGTAGGAATAAGTCCAACACGGGAAGACCCATGGTTCCATTTTCATAATGCGTTTTTTGAAAAACTATCGTTACATATTTCGGGAGATCTCAACTCTTTTTCAATGTTGGAAACCGCAAATTAATTACCAAATAGGCAAATAAATACTCGAAGGAGTTTCACTAAAGATAATTAAAGCCAATTCTTCATTTATTTCATGTAAATCAGACAATGATCATATATATGTTATTTCATCACTCAGTTACAAACTTGAAAAAGAATCACACATCGGAATAGTTTAAATTTTCTTTTGATTTGCCATAAGAATATATATTAAGACGATCAAGAATGTACTTTTTGTTCTAGTAACCATTTGTGTTGCAGTTTCTGTGAATACTCAACTACCACAATTTCCAATTACGTTCCCGTTTCCATTTCAGCACTCGAGTGGTATACTATTACTAGGACTACCCGACATAAATAAATGATTCTCGTCCGTGATGAATGTTCCTGGATGTTTTTTAGAAATCTCCAAATCTATGTTTGTTGAGAGATTCGGTAACATTGGGCCTGCTTGTTGTAAAGCTTTTTTGGAAACCGCAAAATGCATGCCAAATCTACCATTCAATCTATTTTTCTCTCCCAAGCTTAAAGAAGAGTGTTCCCGAGTTGCTGGCCAAGTTCCTCCTACCAATACATAAATTGTTTTCGAATATGATTGCTTTTACTAATTTCCATTTTATTTAAGTTGTTCTTCAAATTCAAGTTACCAAAATGTACTAAAATTTGCAATAATATATTAATTGTGTCACCTTTCTTATAGTTTTTGTACTATAAATTTTCATGAGTACTTTCGAAGCCATTCGTTTCAATGATCATTGATTAAATGATGAATGAGTCAGAGTCTCAAAGATATAGGAATCTATTGTTTTATCTTCATTGTATTTAGGTTTGTTTTTAGTGTTTTTTCATGATGAACCAACCTTAAAAATCTTAAGCCTTATTCTTTTGTTAGTTGTAAAGTTAGAAACCTTTTTTTTATCTTCAATTATAGCATCACACCATTAAATCTTATCCAATTACAAATGATGATCTAATCTTTTCTACTTCTTGCAGCACTTACAGCGAACGATTTTATACAAATGACTCACAACATACAGTTCGATGTAAAAACTTTTGTTTGCATTTTCACTCTCCAAAAAGATAAAAATTATAAAATATATGTGAAATTTTTTATTTTTCATATTAAAATAGATTTTGAAAATAATCAAGCTACAGTCACAACTATTAGCATATGAATGCCAAGATCCGCTAACACAAGTAGCACTCCCACCTTTGTAAGATCCTTGAGCGTGGGAGTTCAACTCGTACATCTCCACAGAGGATTGAGTGAAAAGGCCAATTAATGGGTCATGTTAAAAAAGAAAAAGAAAACCTATCAGCATATGAATGGTGTGCAAATTAGGAAACTTAGCATTTTTCTCTGACAGTTCTCCTATGTATATCTCTCCCTTTATCTTCAAATCAAGTGCATTGACACAAATCCATTGATTAAGTTAATCCACTTTTTTTTTCTTGCTCTCTTCTTCACTCGTCTCATGTCCAAGGAATGAGTTGATTGTGTGTTCTAGCATCATATTTCAATTTGTAATAATCTATCTTATTTGATTGCCTCATGCACCCATGCATTTACCATAGCTTATCTTATTAGCTAATCTCGTTCCATTATTGTTTAGTAGTTTCCAATCAACCTTTCGAATTGAATGTCTATCTATTTACTTGTTTATGCCATCTATCGATTTAGTTTAATTAGTACACCATACACTTAATTAATGTGTTGTATAGTCTAGTTCTTTGTGGATTCGATCAGAAAATTGTGTTACAAGCTAAGTGACTTATAAACTATGCACTTTACAATTCATATTTAAAACTCCATCTTCCTCAAATCACCCACTTTAGCTAGTATTAATTAATGTCTACAAAATTAAAGTCATACATACATTTTAACTTCAAAGAACATTTTTTATTTATTTGAAATGTCAAGCACATGTTGTTAGTGTGAGTGAGGTAAGATGAATTGCAGAAAGTAAACGACACAAGACGTTTGTTAAAGAGGTTCGGTTTTTCTTACTCCCTGGGACCAATGCCAGATTTGATTTCACTAGAACAAGAAAGCAAATACAAACTATTCACAAACGCGTAAAACAAGCACAACCCTCTTGATTTACTGCTCCCTTCTATAACGTAAAACCTTAAGGATAATCTCTACCCTTAACTAAACTCCCCCTGAGTCTAAATTTAATCAGGATAACCTAACTCTGAGCTAAACTCTCCTTGAGCCTACTTCAAAACAAAACCAGTTGATCACACAAGCACCGAACCGCAAAACTAAGTTGCACACAATCTCACAGAAAAATCTCAATGATTTTTCTTTATATCTCAGCTCTCTTGCCTCTCCAAGACGTCCTCAACTTCTCCTTATATAGCCAACACGATTTCCTAACCATCATAAGAGCAAATTTTCAAATTCCATAAAGAAAAAGTAAATTTCCTTTTACACTTCCTTTTCCTCATCAATCTCCACTTTCATCAAGTCTTCCAAATCTCTTTAAGTTTTTTTTTTTTCCTTTGTTATTCATCCTCTAAACACGTTCCAATCCTATCTTCTCAAATCTTCTTGAAATCGACACTTACACAAAAACAGTAGCATCTTGTACTACTTCTTGAATCACTCAAAAACTCAATCAGCAGTATCTTGTAGTACTTCCTGAATCATTCAGTAACTCAATCCGACACAACAACTACACAACAACAATGCAGAGAGAGATTTGTTGAAGGAAAAAGTGAGAAAGATGCTTAATGATAAGAAGAAGACTTATGTTGACCAATTGGAGTTCATTGATGATCTACAGAAACTCGGGATTTCTTATCATTTTGAAGCGGAAATCGATAACATTTTAACATCTTCTTACCAAAAAGAGAGAACAAACGTCCGGGAGAGTGACCTACATGCCACCGCACTCGAATTCAGACTTTTCAGACAACATGGTTTGAATGTTTCAGAAGGTTAGTATCGTGACCCTCGTTCAAAAAAGGATCATTGCTTATATATTTTTGTTATATATATATTTGGTCTTATATACTAATGATTTTTTTACTACAGATGTATTCGATGATTTCATGAAAAAATGTGGGAAGTTTGGCAGTGATGATATATATGGTTTCTTATCTCTTTACGAAGCGTCGTATCTTTCGACAAAGTCAGATACAAAACTGCAAAAATGCATCAGACCTTTTGCAACACAACAACTCAGAGACTTTGTTGATACTCATAGTAATGAAGATTGTGGGTCGTGTGACATGGTGGAGATGGTGGTCGAAACGTTAGATATGCCCTACTATTGGCGAATGAGAAGGTTAGACACCAGACGGTACATCGATGTGTATGGAAAGAGACATAACAAGAACGCTGTCCTAGTTGAATTTGCCAAGCTTGATTTCAATATCGTACAGGCTATTCATCAAGAGGAACTCAAACACGTATCCAGGTAATATTAAATTACTAAAATTCATATAGCTAATTTTTAAGATATCTTAAATCTATTTTGAACTCTTTAATAAATATGACATTTTTTGTTTTTTTTCAATAAATATGACATTATCAAGTACATAAGTCATATATAATAAACTTATCAATATATATCGTTTAGTTAGTCTGAGATGAAAATGCATGAACTTTACATTGTATAATATTACTTGATAACTCTTATGAGTTATGACACATAAATATCAATTTTTGTCAACAACATGCATTCTACCGAATATTAACATGGGTGGGTGGCATTCTACCGAATTATTAATATGGGTTATACAAAACTATATATGTCACATGTTTTGGTCGCGCCAAATTATTTTTTTCGAAATCTTGATTAAAAATGATATAACACATAATAACATATAATAAAGTATAGGAGATATTTTACCCTATTTATATTCCCCTTGCTTTACAAATATGTGGTGTTAAGCTGGTGGAGGGAGACAGGTTTAGGTAAGCAACTCTACTTTGCAAGAGACAGGATAGTGGAGAATTATTTTTGGACGATTGGACAAATCCAAGAGCCTCAATACGGATACGTTCGACAAATAATGACTAAAATAAATGCACTTCTTACTACTATTGATGATATCTACGATATCTATGGCACTCTTGAAGAGCTTGAACTTTTCACTTCCGCGTTTGAAAAGTAAAGATCCACCACACTTTTAATTTTCTACTTCAATTTCTGCTTATTTTATAATATTAATTAAGTATCATATAAGATTACAGATTGAATGTCAATATAAAAAAATGTTGCAGTTGGGATGTAAATCGTCTTGATGAACTCCCCGAGTATATGAGGTTGTGTTTTCTTGTTGTATACAATGAAGTCAATAGCATTGGATGTGATATTCTAAGAAATAAAAATATCAACGTGATCCCATTCCTCAAAAAATCTGTAAGTATATACTCTTTCCAACCAATATTTTTGTAATCAATCTATTGTTTTAACAGTTAGTTTATTTTACAAAAGTAAAATATTTTTTTGATGTTAAAAATAATAAATTTGTTCTCTTGACATTTTTTTTTAATAAATTTTAATAATTACAAATCTGGTTGATATATTTATTAAACCTTACATAATTTTTAATATTTTAAACCATGGATAATTCTTACATAATTTTTAATAATATAAACCATGGAAACTTGCATATGTTGTATCTAATACTAATTTTTCAATTATCTTAAATTTAGTGGACAGATGTATGCAAAGCATATTTAGTAGAAGCAAAGTGGTACAAAAGTGGGCACAAACCAAATTTGGAGGAGTACATGCAAAATGCTTGGATTTCAATCTCGGCCCCAACGATATTTGTTCACTTCTACTGCGTATTCTCTGCCCAGCTCTCTATTAAGGTCTTGGAGACTTTGTCCGAACACCAACAAAACGTCGTCCGAAGCTCTGCCTCAGTGTTCCGTCTAGCCAACGACCTTGTAACCTCACCGGTAAAACACTTTCTTCCAAGTATAATAATTTTAGAATTAATTCGTTGAAGCTAGTTGGAGGCATGCTGTTGGATGCGGACCACATTCTTGGTTACTAATTGGACTGATTGGTAAATAAAGTAATCGGAACGGGTGTTTTCAATAGGTTGTTGAAAGATGCAGATAAAAATTAGAAATGGAAGGTTAAACGTCACCTGAATAGAACCCTTTATTGAAGACAAATTTGGATTTAAAAATATTGATTGGAAAAATATATTAATTTTAAGTTTTAAAATTTTTGTTAATCATTTTTTATTTTCTAGTACTTTATAAGTACTAGTTTATTTTAACTAATATTCAAACTGTTTGTCACCGATCATGTCCTCTTTATGACCTAACCAATAGAATTTTACAGCTTTGTTAAAACTAGGGTTTACAAATTCTACCCTCCACATTCTTAATCGCATGTAAATATATTTATCTAAAAGTGAAATGAAACTGTATATCTCAGTAAAATATGCCCTTGTTTATTATATATACATATAAAATGTGTATTTACAGTAAAACTTCTATAAATTAATAATCTCGGAATCGAAAAATTCTATTAGTTTATAGAGGTATTAATTTTCGATAAATTAATAATTATTAATTTATAAAGAGATTAATAACCAATATCTGAAAAGCCGTTTTTCATTATAACCAATATCTTTTGAAAACCAATTACAAGTAGAAAAACAATTATAAAGTTTAGAAAACGATATAAACTTTTTTCGATGTAGTAAAAATAATAGAAATGAATTCTACCAAAAATTAATACAAATTTAAGAAAAATAAACAATACTAGAGTCATAATTGAGTAATGTTTTATATAAATTGATAACTTTATATAATTATTAATTTATGATATTGATGTGACCATATATTTACCTAGAATTTTCAAAATAGTTATTATCTTATTAATTTATCGATTTGTGTTATTTTTTATACTAGTCCCAACTCGGAACCGGAAGAATTTATTAATTTATAGAAGTTATTAATTTATAAAGGCTTTACTGTATGTAAATATAGGATGAATTAGCGAGAGGAGACGTCTGCAAATCCATCCAATGTTACATGAGTGAAAATGGAGCATCAGAGGATAAAGCACGTTCACATGTTCGGCAGATGATCAACGACTTGTGGGATGAAATGAATTACGAGAAAATGGCACATAGCTCTTCGCTACTCCATCATGATTTTATGGAAACAGTGATAAACTTGGCACGCATGTCTCAATGCATGTATCAATATGGTGATGGCCATGGCTCTCCCAAAAAAGCTAAAATCGTTGATCGTGTCATATCCATAATATTCAATCCGATTCCTTTAGATTGAACTTCAGATTACATTATATTCAATATCATATGGTTTTTAGATAATCAAAGACATAAATTAAAGTTCGATGAAACTATTTGGTTTAAGGCTTTATAAAACTAATATTATATGTTTGTCAAACATCGACATTACAACTTTAACAAGAGTATCTACAAATAATTTCAGGTACTTAACTTTGAATGGATCTTATGAAATTGGGAACCCAAAGCCCTAGTTCCACCCTGCACCCTACCGTACGTGTCCAGCGTCGACCATATATTATTTGAAACAAAAAGTTGTTTAGGTGTCATTCCACTTTTTTTTCTTTGAAGTGAAAAGTAGTTAACATGTTTTAATTATTTTTAAAATTTCCAAGGCCAACCGATTTACGATGGTCAAGTGGCTAACATGTTTATCGATCTATGCATATAAGATAGGATGGTTATCAACTATGATATCTATATTTTACTAAAAAAAAAGAAAAAACTATGATACCTATTTTGTCCTTTTCTATTTGTGGTGACGCATGACATCACGGATCATTGGCGTAATCTTCGACAACATGTGTATCACCATCGTTCACCATGTGGACAAATTAATGTGACCATAGTTTTTGTACTATAAATTTTCATGAGTACTTCCGAAGCCATTCGTTTCAATGATTAAATGATGAATGAGTCAGAGTCTCAAAGACATAGGAATCGATTGTTTTATTTTCATTGTATTTAGGTCTGTTTTTAGTGTTTTTTCATGATGAACAAACCTTAAAAATCTTAAGCCTTATTCTTTTGTTAGTTGTAAAGATAGAAACTATTTTTTTTATCTTCAATTATAGCATCACACCATTAAATCTTATCCAATTACAAATGATGATCTTATCTTTTCTACTTCTTGCAGCACTTGAACAGCGAACGATTTTATACTAATGACTCACAACATACAGTTCGAAGTAAAAACTTTGTTTGCATTTTCGCTCTCCAAAAAGAAAAAGAAAAAAATTATATAAATAAACGTGAAAATTTTATTTTTCATATTAACATACATTTTGAAAAGAATCAAGGTACAATCACAAGACTCACAACTATTAGCATAGGAATGCCAAGATCCGCTAACACAAGTAGAACTTCCACCTCTGTAAGATCCTTGGGTGTGGGAGTTCAACTCGTACATCTCCGCAAAGGATTGAGTGAAAAGGTTATTTTAAAAAAGAAAAATAAAACCTATCAGCCAGGGGCGGACCCACGTTAGGAGAAAGGAGTGCAACTGAACCGGGTAAAATATAAATAGTTTTGATTTTACATAAAATTTATTGATTTAAAGTGGTCCAGTGGTTAAGACTACACCCCTAAACTATGAGGTGGAGGGTTCAATTCCTCTTTAAAGCATTTTTTGCACCGGGTAAAGTTTGTGGCTGGGTCCGCCAATTCGTATCAGCATATGAATAGTGTGAAAGTTAGCATTTTCCTCTGACAGTTCCTATGTATATCTCTCCCTTTATCTTCAAATCAAGTGATAGGTTTGGAGGAAACCTTAGAAGTAGAATAGTTTTCTCAATTTATTTATTAGCTAATAGGTATATTTATACAAGGATCATAACTTGATTAATTAGCAAGTTCTTTACATATATGATAATAGGAAATCTACCTATTTAACAATAAGAATATATCATACAAATGTTAACTTTCCTTTCAAGTCGATCTCGTAATCCCCGAGATCTCCTAACATGTTTATAAAGAATTAGAATGGACTCTCATAAGAATAAAGATACAAATTACATTCTCTTATATACAGATGAGATTTCCTAATCTAAGATAAATATAAATGTAAATAATATATTTAGAGATAATGTTAAACTTCCTAAACTTAAAATATGATAACTTCTAGATCCTTCTCGATCTTCATGATTTCCATAATCTTGGGCGATCATCTCGACCGTCGATCTCCGGTTCTCCCAATACTCCCCTGCAAGCTCATACGTGGTAGCACGTGTGAGATTGGACAAGTCTTCAGAATATCGGCTTTATACTCGACCGTCGGGTCATCATCGATGTTTATACCCGGTCGTGGGGTCAAAGCGGCTACAATACCCAGCCGTTGGTTCATCGACGTTTATACCCGGTCGTGGGGTCATCAACGGCGTTTATACCCGGCCGTCGGGTCATCAACGTGGTCACCATCATATTCGTAGTTAATGGAGAACCACATGGAAAATACATCATCGTAGTTGTGTATCTCCATCGATTTTAAATCACAAGTCTTGGTCGCTCTTCGAACTTCTTGTTTATGAAGAAACTTGTGTCGAATTCGAATTCGTCACCGCCGGATCAACATCGTATCAGTCGGACTCTCCATAGCTCATACTAGACGTATCTTCATCTTCTTTGCATGTGATGAAGAACGTAATCAACTTCATAAAAGCCACATAATGACAAGTTTCTTCTCTCACAACAAAACACAATTACGTGTTCCTTCTTCTTCTTCTTCTTTTTTTTTTTTTTTTTTTCGATCTTGGACAAAAACAAAGCATAATCACATGCTTTAGAAATTATCTTCATCCAAACTGCATTGATTGTCCAAGTCACCTTTTGTAGTCGTGGTGAGATCAACAAATCAATAACAAAACTTTGGAATCGATCAAGCCTTTTTTTTTTTTTTTTTTTTTTGCGGAAGCTAACGTAACTGAACTAAAATCCACAGAAAGGATCTTGGCTCTGATACCATGATAAGTTTGGAGGAAACCTTAGAAGTAGAATAGTTTCTCTCAATTTATTCATTAGCCAATAGACATATTTATATAAGGATCATAACTTGATTAGCAAGTTCTTTACATACTCCCTCCGTTTTCGAATAGTTGTCGTTTTAGAGTTTTTTTTTTTGTTTTAAATTAGTTATCTTTTTAAGGTAATAATGTAATTTATGCCAATAACTACCCAAATTACCCTCATTTTATTGAACACAAATTATTTGTAAATAATTACTTGTCATTTTTATGAGGTTAATATAGTCATTGTATACATTTTCTTAATTTGTCCAAATACAGTTAAAACGAAAACTTTTAAAAAACAGAGGGAGTATATGATAATAGGAAGTCTATAATATATCATACAAATGTTAACTTTATTTTCAAGTCGATCTCGTAATCTCCGAGATCTCCTAACATCAAGTGCATTGACACAAATTTGATTAACTTAAACCACTTTTTTTGTCTTGCTCTCCTCTTCACTCGTCTCATGTCCTAGGAATGAGTTGATTGTGTGTTCTAGCATCATATTTCAATTTGTAATAATCTATCTTATTTAATTGCCTCATGCACCCATGCATTTACCATAGCTTATCTTATTCGCTAATCTCGTTCCATTATTTGTCTTACTTTTGTTGGTCTTATTCTTTAGTAGTTTCCAATCAACCTTTCGAATTGAATGTCTCGTTATTTACTTGTTTATGCCATCTATCAATTTAGTTTAATTAGTATACCATACTCTTAATTAGTGTGTTTTATAGTCTAGTTCTTTGTGGATTCGATCAGAAAATTGTGTTACAAGCTAAGTGACTTATAAAATATGCACTTACCGTTTTACAATTCATATTTAAAACTCCATCTTCCTCAAATCACCCAATTAGCTAGTATTAATGTCTACAAAATTAAAGTCATACATACATTTTAACTTCAAAGAACATTTTTTATTTATTTTAAATGTCAAGCACATGTTTATTTCGCTGCTTTTCAAATCTCTATACTATTAAAAGAGAAGTATAAATGAAAATGGGTCGGGTTAAAATCAAAAAATTGACCCGAAATTCTGAAATCGGATCTTTGAAATTTTTTTGGAATATAAATTCGAATTAATAATGAAAAATCGAAATAAAAACAAATATTTATGGAAATCAAATAAAATCTGATTGTACTTATGGCAACTAATAATAAAAGCATATTCCAAACAATATTATACATTAATTCCGTATAATAAATTTGTTCATATATTTTTGGGACTAATTCCATAACAATCAACGTTTTTGTCATTAATTTCGCTCATTTTAGCCAATTATCATTAATTGAAAGATATTTTACTTGCTTCTAAAGATTTCTAGAAAATTTATCACAAATAACCCATCTGTTTTATAAATTAAATTGATATTTTTATTTTGGTCGTGTAAATTAAATAGATATTTTTATTTTGGTCGTGTAAATTAAATAGATATGAAATCCATGTAACTAATTTTAATTTAATTAGATTAAATCGAAATTATGATATTTTCATACCTATAGATTACCAAAGAAGTTTAATTTTCAATTTATAAAGATTTCTTGAATATGATTTTAGAATTATTCAAAAAGATGATAATATTTTGACTTGTAGTTAGTCGGTCCGCACGACCCGCGGGTAGCATATATGAAATACAAACCCGTCCCGCGAATGTATGCGGATTTGCGGGATTGTCCATGGATTTTGTTTAAATAATTTTAAAGTAACCAAAATTTAAAATACTACTAAAATAAATAAATAAATCAAAATACTATTAAAAGTTTGTTTAAATTACCACATGTTGAATAAATTATAATTTTATCAATAAATACTAATATGCGGGCTGATCCGCCAACCCGCGGATGAAAACTGATTAAACCTATGATCCACTGCGAATTAATCCATGTGGCCTGCTTATTTGCGGGTTTAATATATTTTCCCAAATCTGCCCCATAGTGAGATGATGTGGGCTCGACCCGCGGTTTTTTACCTATTTTGACTGTTCTAATTCCCATGAATCGTCTAATTTTAGAATTTTAAAACACAAAATTCTATTTTGTAAATCATATTTAATACGATGGGTATATTTATAAACAATTTTACATTTTCTCTACAATTCGTTATTATGAATATTTATAAGTATACTACACGATTCGTTCTACTAAAAAACACACACAATATTAAATGCAACATATGTAAACCAATATTCTCTCGCGGTGGACCGCGGGTCCGATCCTAGTAATATCTAGAAGATAAAGGTTATATTTTTTTTTACTAAAATGTAAATATCATATAATTGAAATTTTGGTTTTACATGGAGTTCAACCTACAAGATAAAGGTTATATATCAACTACGAGTCTACGACTTCTATTTTTCTATTTTATGGTCACTCATGAAATCACGCACCGGTCATTTGCTTCATATTTTCGACTTTAAATATGACATCGTACACGTACCAACTACCATGTTAGAAATGTGTGGATAATATCCTTTTCTTGCGACCCCCTTATTTGATTTTTTATATCTAACGACAAATCCATGTGTACAATGCAAAACTAAAACGTGATTCCCGGCAAAAACTATGACAACATAAAAAGCTACTGTGTAATATATATAGACATACATCTGAAGAGTTACGTAGCATAATAATACTTTTATTCAATGGCCACTCTAGTACTTCAGATAGGTTCATCTCCTATTTACAGTAATGCCCTTGGGAAGACTCTTCGACGTCCTCAGTCTTCCACATGCATCATAGTGGCCGAAACCCCGCCATGTAATAAGACTCCCATAGTTCATCGTCGTTCCGCGAACTATCAGCCTTCTCTCTGGGACCATCACCATCTCCTCTCGGTCGAGAATAAATATATGGTATGTAAATATCCGTATATACAATATAAATTTATTACAGATGTCGGAATTGTTGAATATGTTGATAATTTTTTTTTTTAATGTTCAATACACTGCATACAGAAAGATAAAAGTAGTGTAAGAGAGAGAGATTTGTTGAAGGAAAAAGTGAGAAAGATGCTTAATGATAAGAAGAAGACTTATGTTGACCAATTGGAGTTCATTGATGATCTACAGAAACTCGGGATTTCTTATCATTTTGAAGCGGAAATGGATATCATTTTAACATCTTCTTACCAAAAAGAGAGAACAAACGTCCGGGAGAGTGACCTACATGCCACCGCACTCGAATTCCGACTTTTCAGACAACATGGTTTGAATGTTTCAGAAGGTTATTATCGTGACCCTCATTCAAAAAAGGATCATTGCTTATATATGTTAAATTTTTGTTATATAAATATTTGGTCTTATATACTAATGAATTTTTTACTACAGATGTATTCGATGTTTTCATGAAAATTTGTGGGAAGTTTGGCAGTGATGATATATATGGTTTCTTATCTCTTTACGAAGCGTCGTATCTTTCGACAAAGTCGGATACAAAACTGCAAAAATGCATCAGACCTTTTGCAACACAACAACTCAGAGACTTTGTTGATACTCATAGTAATGAAAATTGTGGATCGTGTGACATGGTGGAGATGGTGGTCCAAACGTTAGATATGCCCTACTATTGGCGAATGAGAAGGTTAGACACCAGACGGTACATAGATGTGTATGGAAAGAGACATAACAAGAACCTTGTCCTACTTGAATTTGCCAAGCTTGATTTCAACATCGTACAAGCTATTCATCAAGAGGAACTCAAACACGTATCCAGGTAATATTGAATTACTAAAATTCATATAGCTAATTTTTAAGATATCTTAAATCTATTTTAAACTCTTTGATAAATATGACATTATCAAGTACATAAGTCATATATAATTAAGTTATCTATATTGTTTAGTTAGTCAGATGAAAATTCATGAACTTTACATTGTATAATATTACTTGAAACTCTTATGACACATAAATAACCATTTTTGTCAACAACATGCATTCTACCGAATATCAACATGGGTTGGTCGGGCATTCTACCGAATTATTAACATTGGTTACAAATCATTATATATATGTAACATGTATTGGTCGCGCAAAAATATTTATTTTCGAAATCTTTATTAAAAATGATATAACATATAATAAAGTATAGAAGATAGTTTACCCTATTTATATATTCCCCTTGCTTTTCAAATACGTGGTGTTAAGCTGGTGGAGGGAGACAGGTTTAGGTAAGCAACTCTACTTTGCAAGAGACAGGATAGTGGAGAATTATTTTTGGACGATTGGACAAATCCAAGAGCCTCAATACGGATACGTTCGACAAATAATGACTAAAATAAATGCACTTCTTACTACTATTGATGATATCTACGATATCTATGGCACTCTTGAAGAGCTTGAACTTTTCACTTCCGCGTTTGAAAAGTAAAGATCCACCACACTTTTAATTTTCTACTTCAATTTCTGCTTATTTTATAATATTAATTAAGTATCATATAAGATTACAGATTGAATGTCAATATAAAAAAATGTTGCAGTTGGGATGTAAATCGTCTTGATGAACTCCCCGAGTATATGAGGTTGTGTTTTCTTGTTGTATACAATGAAGTCAATAGCATTGGATGTGATATTCTAAGAAATAAAAATATCAACGTGATCCCATTCCTCAAAAAATCTGTAAGTATATACTCTTTCCAACCTATATTTTTGTCAATCTATTGTTTTAACAATTAGTTTATTTACAAAAGTTAAAAATTTTTTAAATAAGAAATTTGTCCTCTCGACATTTTTTATAAGTTTTTATAACCCAAATCTGGTTGATAAATTTATTAAAACAAAGAAGCCATTCTTATATAATTTTTCATATTTTAAACCATGGATAATTCTTACATAATTTTTAATAATATATATAAACCATGGAAACTTGCATATGTTGTAGTTTTGTACTCTAATACTAATTTTACAATTATCTTAAATTTAGTGGACAGATGTATGCAAAGCATATTTAGTAGAAGCAAAGTGGTACAAAAGTGGGCACAAACCAAATTTGGAAGAGTACATGCAAAATGCTTGGATTTCAATCTCGGCCCCAACGATATTTGTTCACTTCTACTGCGTATTCTCTGCCCAGCTCTCTATTAAGGTCTTGGAGACTTTGTCCGAACACCAACAAAACATCGTCCGAAGCTCTGCCTCAGTGTTCCGTCTAGCCAACGACCTTGTAACCTCACCGCACTACAAAAAAATGTACATTGATAGCATAATGGGATAGCACGAATTTCACAAATGTTATGAAAGATAGTATTTCAGATTTTGTAACTATATCATAGCATTCTATAAACGCTAATCCCTATAATAGCAAAGCGAAACGTTAAAATCACAAATTTTATACTAACCGCTCAATCACCTAGTCAAAAAATTAGAATAAAAATCTAAAATTTTTATGACCGCCAAAAATTCAGCCAAATATTATACTTTTTACCTCCTTCACTTAGCCAAAATCACAAAACCCACTCGAAACCTAATTTTTCTCTTTTTCTCTTTTTCTCTCCGTAGGCCATAGTCTCCACAATGAATCCGTTGCCGACCACAATCTCGCTATCTCCACCGTGAATTCCATCTTCTGCCAAAATCTCTCCATCTCCACCGCGAATTCCATCGCCAGCCACAATCTCTACGGTTTCCTTCTGAACTTGGTGTCGTTCGACGTTGGTCTCATTCCGACCTCTAGCTCACCAAACCCTAACTCATCTTGTTCCACCACAGAGAAGAGAGAGAGAGAGATTGCTTAAGAGATGTTGTCGGACTTCAAATCAGTTTAGATCCGAAGCCATCTAAAAGATGAAGCTTTTAACTTTATCCGTTTTTTATTGAAGATTTTTAGAGAGATTGAAGTCGAAAAAGTCTTGAGTTTTCAATTTTGGTTTCGGTTTTTGGTATAAGTTTTCAGTTTTGGTTTACAATCATGCTCTCTTCTCTTCTTTGCATCATATAGGTTCTTCAAATTTTAGATCTCCTTCGTCTTTAGAATAAAAGAAAGTTAACTTGGTGTTGCTCTTACCTCCTATCTTGTCGATTCAAATTAGAGGCTTTTTGAATCTGTAATTTGGGTCAACGCAGAAAAAGAAGAGATTTTTAATCATGTTTATTGCTAAATTGGTTAATTTTGCAGCTCCGTCAGTGAAGGGTACATGTGAGTTTGAAAGAGTTTATGTGGCTGGGCCTCTTGATGCTTGTCAGAATCTTTTGAATACACCAGAAGAACATAGCTCAAATGAAACTTCCCCTTTTGTGTTGATTGTAAGATGAGGCTGTAGTTTTGAGGAAAAAGTGAGAAAAGCACAGAGAGCTGGTTTCAAAACTGCCATATCTATAACAATGAAGATTGTGGAACCTTGATAGCAACTATGAACCATTCTTCTCAGTTTATTTGAGTTTGGAGCTTTAGTTCTTTAGAGAATTATTCTTTTGAGGAAGACTTTGAAACTTTGTACATTGCTTTTAGGTGTGGATAACAACTCTTGAACTTGTGTGAAGTTTTGAGCTTTAGGTTCTTTAGCGGTGGATTTGCCACGGCGGTGACGTTTGTGACTGGAAACGCCAAGAAGCTTGAAGAATCAAAGTTATGCACGACATTTCTATTCCTTCCAAGTCTCTTAAACTTGACCGTGCGTACTTCTTTTGATTTCTCTATCTCTTCGATTACAATTATTTTCTATTCTTTTTAGGGTCATTGTTTTTATTGTGTATAGTTTGAGTTGTAGTTGCCTCAGCTTCATGGTGACCCCAGTTTTGGGTTGGGTCAGTGAGATGTGGTTTGATGATCCAAGAAAATTGGGTGACAAAGTTTCAGAGATTGTAAAGAGGTGAGTTTTTGTGATTTAGTCGTTACTTTTCTCTTTTTCTCAAGCTTTCCCTAATGTTAATGTAAAACATGGTTTCCTCTATTAGCACTCATGTTTAATCTATTAAGATTTCCTCTATTTGTTAACTGTGAATAATAATTCTTATTGTTGGATCTTCTAAGTTTACCACTAATGTTAGTGCTTCTACATGGTTGATCTGGTGAACAGATTTTTGAATACTAACACAATATTTTAAGTACAAAGCTTTTGCAGAAAGGTCGCAAAGAATCTGATCATGGTTCATGAATTTCTTTTCACGTTGCTCTCATTTGCTTATCCAAGTTCCTTTTTTGTCGTAATGGTGGAGCTAGCTCAAACAATTCTATAATAAAATTTTTATTTCTTATGTACAGGCAAGCGGTTGGTCAATAGACGTAGTGAAGTTGTTCACAAGTCCAGTGGAGTTCAGTAAGTGGTTTTCTTGTGATAGCTTTGTGCCCTCTATAACACATTCTTGGAGTTTTGTTAAGTGTTTGACGAGATTGTGTTTATCTAGTTTCCATGGTTATGTTTCATTGATTGAGACTCTTGCATTTGCAAATTCTTTTTAATTTGTCTAACACATGCTTACAAGGATTATGCACGAGAATGGTAACGGGAAGGCGAAAGACATAGAGAAGATGAGATTGAAGTTTGTCTTCGTAATGTTAGCTTTATTTTTGCTTAAAACTTGTATGATATTGTTATGTAAAAATGGCTAATGTAATAATATGGTTATGTATGTTTGATTATTTATGAAATATAAAATTTATTTTATAAATCGAATTAAATTTATTTTGCAAAACATGATACAAATATAATAATTATATATAAATCCAATTAAATTTATATAGAAAATATAAAAATGCTGTAATACAATATAAAATAGCATTAAAAGTGTGCTATAATATAGTATATTAGAGCACTCTATTATTGCTATAATTAAACGACTTATAATAGCATGTCCGAAAACGCTATCGTATGTGTGACACCTATCATAGCTGCCGATGTCATAGCATTTGTGAATTCGCTATGGAATATGTATGATAGCAGATTTTTCGTGCTAACAATGTGCATATTTCTTGTAGTGCCGGTAAAACAATTTCTTCCAAGTTAATAATTTTTAGAATTAATTCGTTGAAGTTAGTTGGAGGCATGCTGTTGGGTATATGCGGACCACATTCTTGGTTACTAATTGGACTGATTGGTAAATGAAGTAATCGGAACGGGTGTTTTCAATAGGTTGTTGAAAGATGCAGATAAAAATTAGAAATGGAAGGTTAAAAGTCACCTGAATAGAACCCTTTATTGAAGACACATTTGGATTTTAAAATATTTATTCGAAAAATAAATTATTTTTAAGTTTCTAACTTTTTGTTAATCATTTTTTATTTTCTAGTATTTTATAAGTACTAGTTTATTTTAACTAAAATTCAAACCGTTTGTCACCGATCCTGTCTCTGCCTGTTTATTACCTAACCAATAGAATTTTACAGCTTTGTTACAAATTCTACCCTCCATATTCTTAAGAATCGCATGTAAATATATTTATCTAAAACTGAAATGAAACTGTATATCTCACTAAAATATGCCCTTGTTTATAAAATGTGTATGTATGTAAATATAGGATGAATTGGCGAGAGGAGACGTCTGCAAATCCATCCAATGTTACATGAGTGAAAATGGAGCATCAGAGGATAAAGCGCGTACACATGTTCGGCAGATGATCAACGACTTGTGGGATGAAATGAATTACGAGAAAATGGCACATAGCTCTTCGCTACTCCATCATGATTTTATGGAAACAGTGATAAACTTGGCACGCATGTCTCAATGCATGTATCAATATGGTGATGGCCATGGCTCTCCTGAAAAAGCCAAAATCGTTAATCGTGTCATGTCCATAATCTTCAATCCGATTCCTTTAGATTGAACTTCAGATAACATTATATTGAATATCATATAGTTTTTAGATAATCAAAGACATAAATTAAAGTTCCATGAAACTATTTGGTTTAAGGCTTTACAAAACTAATATTATATGTTTGTCAGAAATCGACATTACAACTTTAACAAGAGTATATTGTACAAATAATTTCAGGTACTTAACTTCTAATGGATTTTATGAAATTGGGGACCCAAAGCCATAGTTTCCACCCTGCACCCTACCGTGTCCTGTGTCGACCATATATTATTTGAAACAAAAAATTGTTTAGGTGTCATTCCATTTTTTTTTCTTTGAAGTGAAGGTGGTTAACATGTTTTAATTATTTTAAACATTTCCAAGGCCAACCGATTTACGAAGGTCAAGTGGTTAACATGTTTATGAGTTTATCTATGCATATAGGATGATTATCAACCCTTGTTTTAAAAATCCCCGCATAGCTTTGATTATACCCCGCGTAATCGCTAGACTCTCTCTCCCTACCTCGATTAATGACTAATTTTTTAAAGAAATCAGTCACTCGATTACTCTCCGCCTGATCCGATTACTTTTCGCCTAATGCGATTACTTCCCGCCTAATCTTACATATCCCGATTATTTTTAGATTGCAAGTATAAAACGGCTTTTCTTTTTGTTATTCAAACATTTGAATTAGAAGTTTATAATGGTTTACAATAACTTATGTTTAAATTTTAATAAATATCATAAATTTTTAAATAAAAATCATAAATTTTTAATAAAAATCATAAATTTTAATAAAAATCATAAATTTTTAAATAAAAATCATAAAAAATTGTCTTAAAAATACATTTTTATGTGTTTACTGCAATTTAAAAAAAAATGTTAGATTAATATGTTTTTAAAATATTAAAGCTATATATAATAGCAATCTAATAAATACCATTTGCACATCTGAATGGTTGCGTCTTTTTATCGCAACATTTCGTTTAAATCGGTTATTTTTTTACGGTTATTTTGGTTGCGTCTTTTTATCGCAATTTTCGGTTTAATCGGTTATTTTTTTACGGTTATGTCGTTTCCAATAAATACCATTTGCACATCTGAACGGTTGCGTCTTTTTATTGCAACCTTTCGTTTAAATATTTATGGTTGTTTTTCTTACAGTTATTTTTGTACGGTCATGTTGTTTAGTTGAATTTCTTCTTACGTAAACTAATAAACTACATATAAAATTGGTTTTATTTCATTGTTTACATATGGATATATTTAGTAGTATAACCTCCTTAATTATATCATTCATTTAACATTTACGTGATATCATGGGAAAACAAATATAATAGCAATCTCAATAAATGTCATTTGCACATTTCAACGGTTGTGTATTTTTATCATAACTTTTCTTTAAAATATTAGTTGTTATTTTTTCGGTTGTGTTTTTTATCGCAACTCTTCGTTAAAAAGATTGACAGTTACTTTTTTTGTTTACGGTTATTTTCAGTTGTGTCTTTTTTATCGTAACTTTCCGATAAATATTGGCGGTTACTTTATTCGTTTCTGTCTTTTATCTCAATTTTCCGTTAAAATATTGATGGTTATTTTTTCTCAGTTGTGTCTTTTTATCGTAACTTTTCGTTAAAATATTAACGGTTATTTTTTCTCAGTTGTGTCTTTTTATTGCAACTCTTTGCTAAAATATTGACGGTTATTTTTTTCGTTGACGGATATATTTTAGGTTGTGTCTTTTTATCGTAACTTTCCGTTAAAATATTGATGGTTACTTTTTTCGTTTGTGTATTTTATCGCAACTTTCGGTAAAAATATCCACAGTTATTTTTCTCGGCCATGTCTTTTTATCGCAACTTTCTGTTAAAATATTGACAGCTATTTTTCTCGGTTGTATCTTTTATCGCAACTCTTCGTTAAAATATTGACGGTTATTTTTTCTCGGTTGTGTCTTTTTATTGCAACCCTTTATTAAAATATTGACGGTTATTTTTTCTTAGTTGTATCTTTTTATCGAAACTCTTTGTTAAAATATTGACGGTCACTTTTTTCGTTGACGAATACTTTTTCGGTTGTGTCTTTTTATCTTTACTTTCCGTTGAAATATTGACCGTTATTTTTGCGGTTGTGTTTTTTATCGCAACACTTCGTTAAAATATTGAAGATTACTTTTTTTTGTTGATGGTTATTTTTTGGTGGTATTTTATTATCGCAACTTTTCAATAAAATATTGGCGGTTATTTTTTCTTGATTGTATCTTTATATCGCAACTCTTCGTGAAAATATTGAAGGTTACTTTTTTCGTTGACGGTTATTTTTTCAGTTATGTCCTTTTATCGCAACTTTCCGTTAAAAAATTAACGGTTAATTTTTATGTTTTGGTCTTTTATCGCAATTTTTCGTTAAAATATTGATAGTTACTTTTTTCGTTGACGGTTATTTTTTCGGTTGTATCTTTTTTATCGTAACTTTCCGTTAAAATATTGACGGTTATTTTTTCTCGGCTGTGTCTTTTTATCGCAATTCTTTGTTAAAATATTGATGGTTATTTTTTATTGTGTCTTTTTATCGCAACTTTTCGTTAAAATATTAACGGTTATTTTTTCGTCTGTGTTGTTTAATCGCAAATTTCCGTTAAAATATTTAGAGTTATTTTTTTGGAATAGTTCTATTTGTTCAATTATAGTCGTATTTTTTCAGTTTACGGTTGTGTCTTTATAGTTGCATCTATTCATTTAAATACGTCTCTTCACTATATTTCATTGTATTTTTTCATCACAACTTTTTGTATGAATAGTTGTCTATTTAAATTTTCATGACTTTTGAACTCTATATATTTTTCCTTCTTCCTAAGTAGTTCCCAAATTTTTTATCTTTAACATAGATTATTTATTTTATGATGAATCTAAAAAAAATAATCTGTAAAATGGCTCCAAATTCTTTATTCTCTAAACTATTTCTAAACATACATCATTTTAATATTAAAGAAATTTTTCACATTCTTGATCTAACTTAAGTTTTTTCGGAATGATTATAAAAATGGAGAAGTTTTAATTAACTTTACATATAACATTCTAATGAAGTACCAACAATTGGACGGATTATATAGTGAATTTTTTTATCTAACTATTTTATATAGTAACAATGATGTTTTCTATTTTAAGGCAATATATATGGGTTATATACAAAGAAATATTGATGTTGCGTTAAGACTATTACAAAGTCCGAATATGAGAAGCCATGCTCATATGAAGCTTGTGATTGGGTGTTTTAAATTTGGTAAGCGTCAAATGAACTGTTACAAATGGTTTGGTAATCCAGAAATCTTTTACATTATTAGGAAAAAAACAATGCTTCCAATTCGTCAAATGTTATTCAAGGAAGAAGTTTTTTAGTCAGTTAATTTATCAATATAAATACAAATTTATGAGATCTTGTAAGTATTTATTTTTTTGTTATAGATGTAATTTACGTCGTCAAATTTTATATTTTCTCTAATATATATAATAGAATAAATATTAACTTTATATTTAAAGAACAATGGGCAATAAAAAACATCCATTCTCTGGCGAAGTTCTTAGTCATCCACAAGTCATTATGAGTACTGACTCCATCCGAATTTTTGAGTTTTGACCTGCTAGAATTTTTCATCTCTATATTATAACTCTTCGTTATGTATTTTGTCACTTATAAATAATTTACATTCATAAAAAAATATTTCAAATGTGTTTTTAATCATAATTCTTCTTTTTATATTTTTATTCATAAATTGTTTAACATCTTTGGAAAATATTTATGATATAACTTTAAAACATAGTTAATTTTATATAATAATTCATATATTTGAATATATTATCATAATAATTTAATACATAAACACAATCAAATATATTTGTTGAAAATGAGTCACGGGGGTTCATAACCTAGTAACTCTAAAACTAGTCCCCGATTAATCTCCGATTTTATCCAATTTTCCGATTAAATTGCTAGGCTCATACCGAACGTCCGACTAGCGCCTAGCGATTTTTCGAACAAGGTTATCAACTATGAATCTATGATACCTATATTTATTATTAAAAAAAAAAAATTAATGTGATATCTATGAATCTACGATATCTATTTGTCTTTTTTCTATTTGTGGTGACGATAACATCACGGATCATTGGCGTCATCTCCGACAACATGTGATATCTATCACCATCGTTCACCATGTCAACTTACGCCATTAATTAGTAGATTCTTTTTATCCGGAGACAAATTAATGTGACCAATTATTTAGCCACCTAAGCATGATTAACGGTTGGACTCCATTAGGGAGTCCAAACCATATTTATAATTGTAAAAAATATAAATTTTGAAATTTAGACATTTAGTTGGTTTTTCATTTTTTTAACACTCCAATGGTAGATCCAAAATTAAGGATTCAAAATTTTAATTTTTTTAAAAAATGTGTGAATGTCTTTTACAAACTTGAGACACAAACTACATTTGTCATATTCAAAAGCAGCACAAACAAGAGTGTGAAAGTCTTTTACAAAACATGATCTCACCAACTTGACACACTTGAATGGCACAACTTCATCCTTTAAACTCTTCATCCTTTAAACTCTGAAAAATGACACAAGAACCAACTTAAACATTCATTTAGCTTCTCTTAACCACAAAACACAAACAACTCAAAGCACTGATCAGTCTTAACCTAACAAGCATTTATCACAACTAACAAGCAACTTAAATGTCTTAACCAAAAGCTAAGAAGACAGTCTTAACTAAAAGGAAGAAGAATAAACTCACCTATGTTAATTAGCCATGGGGGAGAACGAATGCATCATGAAGAATCTGAGAAATAAAGGAATAGCTTCAGTTATCAGTTATAGAACGAATATCAACAAATACTCATCACTAAACAAAGATATAAAAATAGAAACCTCGTAGTCAATGTACCATAACTAGAAATATCACAAACCTGCAAATATTTTCTCTCACGAAACCTAGGTGGAAACAATGCTAGTGAGTTCTCTCCTTTTGCATCCATTATCTTCAAAGAGACAACAAAACAACAACAGCAGTTAAAAACAAATTAATTGGAAACTCTCGTTGGCCTAAAACTATAACATGAAAAGGGAAGTAAAAATTCAAACTTTAATCAGTTCACACATACAAACTAAACCAACCCATTCAGAGGAAACACTATGAATTGGCGAGATTGTATGAAACCTAAGAAAAAGAGTGTTTATCTTTTACCTCAATTTGATTGGAACCTCTGAGAGAGACGACTTGGGCAATGCTCTGACATTCCTCAAACGTGAAATCCTGCTCCGACGCCGCTTGTTTCAGATTCCTTCTTCCTTTGTTCATCTCTTCTTTCTCCTCAGACTCATCCTTCTTACCATCTTCTTCAGAGGTACCAGGTTCACGAAAGTTGAACTGTCTTCGGATTTCCTTAAACGCATTGTCTAAACCCTAAATCCAAACAGATTTCAGTAGTTCTCCTTGGTTTGGTTCCGATTTCAGTCGGAGACACTCTCTGACAGTAGTTCTCCTTGGTTTGTTTCCGATTTCAGTCTCTCCTTGGTGAAATCGCCGATGAAAAAGAGAGAGAGCAATTCGCGAAAGAACGAAAAGAAAACGAGGAAAAAAAAAAAATCAGGTGTTGTCTTATTTTCCGACCAACCACAATGAGACACGTAGACAGATCCAAAGCTTGTCAAAAAATCCAAAATTGGACCAGATCCATTGTTTTATTTCATTTTAGATTTATTTTTTTGGATCTTTTGGGCCTTGGACATGGTCTTAAACCCACCGTTAGTCATGCTCTTATATTATAATAAAATTAAGAAAAGTGTTTCCCCCCGCGAAAACGACGACAACATAAAAACCTTGTATATAGATACTTTACATCTAAGGTAAGTAGTGCAATACTTTTGTTCAATGGCCACTTTACTGCATATAGGTTCAGCTCTCATTTATAATGATGCATTTGCGAAGACTCTTCCACGTCCTCAATCTTTCACATGCACCACAATGGCCAAAATAACACCGGGTGAGTCTCCTGTTGTTCCTCGTCGTTCCGCAAACTATCAGCCTTCTCTTTGGGACCACCGCCATCTACTTTCGATCAAAAATAAATATGCGGTATGTAAGTAATATATATACAATCTACAATGATTTCGTATTTATTGTGTACTATGTTGATATCTATATTCCATATATACACTGCATTCAGAAAGATGAAAGTGTGCGAGAGAGAGAGACTTCTTGAAGGAAAAGGTGAGAAAGATGCTAGATGATGAGAAGAAGACTTATCTCGAAAAATTGGAGCTTATTGACGATCTACAGAAACTTGGTGTTCTTACCATTTTGAAGGGAAATCGAAAATATTTTAACATTTTTTTATCAGAAATATAGAATTGACAAGCATGAAAAAGATCTACATGCCACTGCACTAGAATTCCAACTTTTTAGACAACATGGATTCAATGTTTCTGAAGGTTAATTATTATCATCACACTCATCCAAAAAAGATCTTATCACTGACATGTTAAATTTTGTTGTATGAAAATTTAGTCTTAAATGTGACTAATGTTTTTTTGTTTTCCCTTATAACAGATGTGTTCGATGTTTTCATGGAAAACTGTGGGAAGTTTGAGAGTAATAATATAAATGATATCATATCTCTTTACGAAGCATCGTATCTTTCGACAAAGTCGAATACACAACTGCAAAAACTCATCAGAACTTTTGCAACACAAAAACTAAGAGACTTTGTTGATACTCATAGTAATGAAGATTGTGGTGGATCATGTGACACTGTGGAGATGGTGGTCCAAACGTTAGATATGCCCTACTATTGGCGAATGAGAAGACTTGCCACCAGATGGTACATAGATGTGTATAGAAAGAGACATAACAAGAACCTTGTCTTAGTTGAATTCGCCAAGATTGATTTCAACATCGTACAAGCTATTCATCAAGAAGAACTCAAATACGTTTCCAGGTAATATTAAATTACTAGAAGTAATATAACTATTTTAGATATCTTACATTCTTTCAAACTTTTGCTATACACATAATATTTTTTTTTTTTGGGCAACACCATGCAGTGGAAACAGCAGTGGAAACTAATAAAAATTAGTAGGTTAGACCTGGACACCACTTTGTCCAAAAAAAAAAAAAAAAAAAGACCTGGACACCACATCCAATAATAAAAAAATAAAAATAATGTGATATTTGATTTCGTCTTGCTTTATATGTGGCGTTAAGCTGGTGGAGGGAGACAGGTTTAGGTAATCAACTTCACTTTGCAAGAGACAGAATAGTGGAGAATTATTTTTGGACTATTGGGCATATCCACGAGCCTCAATTTGGTTACGTTCGTCGAATAATGACTATATTAGAACTTTACTAACATTCTCATTAAATGTATAATGTGGTTGTACAACAGTATATATAGCTTTCATGATTAACGTCCGTTTGGACTTAACGGTCAACAACACAATGTTGAATACTCTTATGAGCTACCGTTATCTTCATCTTCTTGATGATGCTCTATATAGTCTAATAGTCCCCCTTAAGCTGGCATAAAGATGTTCGAAATGCCAAGCTTACTGACAAGATACCGGAATTGAGTAGGATACAGAGGTTTAGTCAGTATATCCGCAATCTGATACTCTGTGTTGACATGAATCAGCTTCAAAGTACCTTCAGTAACTCTGTCACGAACAGTATGACAATCCCGATCAATATGTTTTGTACGTTCATGAAACACGGGATTGTTACCAATATGTATAGCAGCTTGATTGTCGCAGTAGAGAACTGTTGGCTTATCAACAGGAATATGAAGATCAGTCAATAGACTCCGAAGCCAAACAATTTTGCAAACTGCCAGAGCCATAGCTCTGTACTCTGCTTCTGCAGATGATCTGGAGCAAATATCTTGTTTCTTAGACTTCCAAGAGACAAGTGAGTTACCAAGAAACACGCAATAACCGGAAACAAATCGTCTTGAATCAGGGCAGGTGCTAAAATCTGAATCAGCATAAGCTGACAACACCATGCTAGGATCCGAAGAATAAAACAATCCTTGACCAACGGTTCCTTTAAGATAATGAAGTAATTTGATAACAGCTTTCCAATGATTTTCACGAGGTTTAGCTGTATATTGTGACAATTTTCCCACAACAAAGGTGATGTCTGGTCGCGTTATCGTCAAATAAACGAGCTTACCAACAATGCTACGATAAGACTCTGGATTATCAATGAGCTCACCACCATCATCATGAGACATTTTCTGATTCGGCTCCATAGGGATGGAGGAAGGCCTGCAAGCTAATAAACCAGCAGAATCCAACAGTTCAAGAGTATATTTACGTTGACAGACTGAAATCCCTGCACTGGAGCCTGCTATTTCCAGACCAAGAAAGTATTTAGCAGGGTCTAAATCACGAAGCTTGAAACGTGATTTCAGTTGAGTCTTGAGATCCTCTGCAGCTTCATCATTGTTACTGGAGATGATTATATCATCGACATATACCAAAACCAGTAAAACCACAGAATCCTTGACCTTTGTGAAAAGTGTATAATCAGAATGATTCATTTGAAAATGAAGTTCTTTTAAAGTTTCTGCAAACTTCAAATACCATTGGCGTGAAGCCTGTTTCAGACCGTATAAGGACTTATTGAGCTTACACACAGCATTGTTAGGAAGAGAGTCTCCCTGTCTCGGAATGTATCCTGGTGGAAGTTTCATGTAGATCTCCTCATTGAGATCTCCATTTAGAAAAGCATTAGACACATCCAACTGAGATAAAGACCATCCCAACTTTGCAGCAGAGGCAAGTAGCATTTTAACTGAAGTGAGCTTAGCAACAGGTGAATATGTATCCACATAATCAAGCCCCTCTTTTTGAGTATATCCCTTAGCAACCAAACGAGCTTTATGTCGTTCCAAAGTCCCATCAGAATTATATTTAACCTTGTATACCCATTTGCAACCGATAACATGTTTGCCTGCTGGAAGAGAGCAAATAGACCACGTATTAGTTGATTCTAGAGCTGTAGTTTCTTCTCCCATAGCATTGGTCCATACCAAATGCTGCTTAGCTTCATTATAGGTTGTTGGTTCAAACTCCCCTGTGATTGCACTTAAAAAGAAGTGATAAGGTCCAAAAATCCTTTCATAAGACAAGTAGTTGCATAGAGGATAAGGAATTTCAACATTGAGAAAATAGCAATGATAATCCTGCAAATATGTAGGAGGTTTTGATTTCCGTGTAAGGTCAATGACCAAATCACATGCCTCATGTTGAGAGTCAGCTTTAACAGTTTCTAAATCTTCTATAGGAACTGCATTCATTGGATCTGGCTCAGGAATATTAGTGATGGTTACAGAATCTTCTACTGTAAAATCATCAACTAGTATACTATTTTGCACAAGATCCGGATTAACCTCAGGTGACTGTATAGTAACAGCAGAATCTCCTACTGCTGAATTACCAACATTTGCACCATTTTGCTCATATTCCTGATGTGTCCCTGTGATGATAGCAGAATCTCCTACTGCTAAATCACCTACAGTATCTGACACAAAAGGAAATAAATCCATAATTTGCTGTGAAATCTCTCCATTAACCATGGGAAATAATTCCTCATGAAAGACAACATGTCTTGATATGAAAACATTGTATGTTTCAATGTCAAGAAGCTTATATCTTTTATAACCAGTGGGATAGCCAATAAACACACATGCCTTATACCTTGGAGCAAACTTGTTCCTTTGATGTGGTGAAGTGGAGGCATAAGCAAGACATCCAAAAGTCCTTAAATCTGAATATTTTGGAGGTTTCTGCATCAAGATCTCAAAAGGTGACTGATTAGAGAGTTGCTCTGTAGGCAATCTATTGATTAAGAAAACTGCATTCATAATGCATTCACTCCATAATTCAATAGGAAGATGAGACTGGAACATTAAAGCTCTTGCAACATTTAGAAGATGTTGATGCTTCCTTTCAACCACTGAATTCTTTTGAGGTGTCTCAGGACATGAATGGTAGGAAATAATCCCTTGTTCTTTATAAAACTGAGTAAAATTTAACTCAGGAGCATTATCAGATCGAACACCTTTAATCTTTACCTAAAATTGTGTCTCAATCATAGCAACAAATCCTGGTAAGACAGTAATGACATCTGATTTGTTTTTGAGAAGATATACCCATGTTGCACGTGAGTGATCGTCCACTATAGTCAAAAAATACTTGTAGCCATCATAAGAAGAAACTGAGAAAGGACCCCAAGTATCAATGTGGATCAAATCAAAAGCTTTATTTGTCTTGTTGTTTCTCCTTACAAAAGGCAAATGTTTCTGTTTGGCCAAATGACAGATCTTACAATGATTCTCCTCTGGAGTAACAGTCTTAGGAAAAGAAACATATAAAGAACCAGAAACAGATTGTAGCTTTTGATGAGAGAGATGACCCAATCTTTGATGCCAAGTCTTGAAATCGTTCTTGACGATAGCACATACGGTAGGTTTAGTGTCTTCTGATGGTTGAAACTGCAAATCCAGAAAATATAGCTTGTTTTGTAGTCTACCTTTTCCAATCATCAAGGCCCGTGAAGGATCCTGAATTTCACAACCAGAAGAATCAAACCAAAAACCACAATGTATATCTGAAGTCAATGAACTCACACTGAGTAAGTGAAATTTAAACTGGGGAATATACAGAACATTGTGTAGAATCAATCTATCACTTAGTCTGATTGTTCCCAAACCAGCAATTTTCACGCCAACACCATTAGGTAACTTCACTGCAGTATCATGAATAGGGATCATTTGTTGATAAAGATCCTTATCATAAGTGACATGGTGAGTAGCACCAATGTCTATAACCCATATATTCAAACTCACAATCTTATCAGAGAGAGAATAAAAGTATGCATTCTCTGTAGAAGATGAAGAGAATATTGAAGGGTAAAAAGTACCAGTTATCTGACATATAGTAGGCTTTGGCCCCGAGGTAGAAGCTTCAGAACTTGGAGTGATCTCAGTAATTTTGGCAGTGTTAGAAGATACATTCATCTGAGGCTGAAGTTTAGAACTGAGATAAGAGACCAAGTGCTGAATCTGCTCATTGGAGAGAGCCACTCCCTTATCAATATCAGACATCGAATCAGTGAGAGCTAAGTGAGCAGAAGGATGTTGATTTCCATGCATACGCTGACTCTTAGGTTTCCATCTAAGAGGATAACCCACAACCTTGTAACATTTGTCAGCAGTATGTCCACTCATACCACAATGTGTACACATAGCTCTAGATTTCTGAAATCCTTGCTGAGTGACTAGAGCTTTCACTTGAAAAGCTGATGGTGTAGGACTTGCAATAACACGTTGACGTTGAGATTCATCAGACTCCAACATATTATACATATCAGAAAGACTAGGACGAGGCTTCATGTTCAGAATTTGACCTCTGATGTTTGCAAATTCATCATTCAGTCCCATCAAAAATTGAGTAATACGTGTAGTCTCATGATCATCAATTAGTTTCAAAACCTGTGAACAACGACAACCTCCATTCTCCATCAGATTCTTAGTGCAAGCTAATCGTTCCCATAGAGTTATCTTCTTAGTGTAGTATTCAGAAACAGACATAGAACCTTGACGCAAAGAACTGATTTCTTGTTCTAAGTTGTAAATCTGCGGAAAATTACTCTTATGATAACGTTTATAGAGATCATTCCATATCACTGACGCATCTGGATAATACAGAATGCTAGAGTATATATGCTTAGAAACCACATTGAGAATCCAAGCTTTTACCATGCTGTTACAGCGAGTCCAGATCTTAAACAAAGGATCAGTTTCAAGAGGTCGTGGAAGAGATCCATCGACGAAGCTAATCTTATTCTTTGCCTCTAAACTAGTTTGCATAGTAACAAGCCATGAATTATAATTTTCTCCGGTGAGAATCTCAATTACGATTGACATACCAGGATGATCGGAGGAGTGTAAGTAATAAGGATTGTGATGACTATCGATCGAATCAGAATCTGCGGGAAGACGATTCTCGAAAGTAACCGAAACAGATCTATCACTCCTCAAAGCTGATCGTTGATTAATCGGTAAATCTTCATCGGATTCCTGAATCATAGAGCGATTTCTGAGCTGCTTGGTTCCTTTCTTCGCCATTAGAGATGATGCTCGACGATGAGAAAGATGAACACGACAAGCTGAAGTGAAATCGGAAGAGAAATCGGAAAAAAAATGAAGAAGAAACTTTGAAGAAAACAGAGAATTTTCTCGAGAAAATTTTGATTTTCCCGAAAACTATCGCAACAAACTTTTGAATGAGAACTTTATGTGCTCTGATACCATATTAGAACTTTACTAACATTCTCATTAAATGTATA